GAAACTGTCCCTCTCCCCTACTCACCCCTCCTGTTTAACTTGGGATTCCCAAATGGAACTTTAACTCCTCCTGCAAACACTTTAAATCCAAAAACACCAGCAGGGGGCTCCCTTTCATCCATTTGGGGTGGGGGGTTCTGGTTCTGCCACTGCAGCTAGGTCAGGTGAAGGGCCTGGGGACCCCTGGAGCTCACTGCCTGCAGCTCCGGGCAGGCTTCCTGCGCTCCACTTGGCACTTGTTGTTCCAGTGCCAGGGGCACCATGCATGGAGCATCTGCTCTTCTATTTTGAAAAGGACCGTCGAACCCAACAAACAACACAGACTTGCTAACCTGCTAGCAGGACTAACCCAAACTCAGCCCTCTGATGGCTGATCAAAATTCCTTAGAGCTTTACCCTCTCCCCAGGTTTGTTCTCTTGGGAGGTGGGTGGGAGGCAGACAGATTGAGGTGGTGGGCCTCAATGTTCTCAGCGGCAGAAACCCTCCAGCACACACTGGGAGGCCGGGGAGGGCTCAGGGGATGAGAAGTATGGGTGGGCAAGAGCGGCCTTGGCCGAGATCCTCCGGCTGGGGTCATACTGCAGGAGTTGCTGGGAGGAGAGAAGAGGCGTAAACGGGTTGAGCCTGGGTGCGGCCAGACCGGGGAGAGAAATTCCCCTCCCAGGCCCCAGCTAGAGGGCCCAGGCCCAGAACCACATGAAGCCACTTGCCTCCTAGCTCTGGAGCCAGTTCTGGATACTCCCAGAATCTAGGGACAAAGGGTTAGTTCTGCTCCAGCCTTATGAGTCAACAGTCTCCTTCAGGCAACTGAAGCCCAGTCATGCCCCTTCCTTGCTGAGAGTTCCAGGTCCCAGCCTGCTTCTGGCTGAGAACACTGGCGTGTCCCGTGTGTGGGTAAGCAGGCCCCAAACCTCAGGTTTGGGCATACTTGAGGTGGAGCAGGAATACAAAGAGCAGAAGGAGAGGGAAGGAGGAGGCAACAAGACAAGGGACCGTGGAGTCATGGGGAAGCCAGGGTGGAGGAAGCCAGTGCTGTCCTGGTTGGATAATATGCACAGACTTCTGGAGAGCTGGACACGCAGCCTGAAGATGAACTGCCTTCCTCTAGACTCCACCAGAGTAGACAGAAAAGCAGCTCGAGGCTGGGACCAGTGGTGTGTGCCTATAGCGGCTTTGGGGGCTGAGGCAGGATTCAAGTCCAAGGTTATTCTGGGCAACTTAGTGAGACTCTGTCTCAAAATAAATAAGAAAGGGCTGGGGATGTAATGTGGTGGTAGAATGTTGGCCTAGCATGTATGAGGCCCTGGTTTGACCCCAGCACCGAAAAACAACAACAAAAAAAGTGGCTCAGAGGCTTTGTGGTCAAGCAGGGATGGCTTTGGCTGAGGAGGCCTCTGGGCACTCTGGCCAGTCCAAGGGTCAAGGTGGTGCTATAAGAAGGATAAGCGAGGACAGTGGCAGGGTCCCAGGCAGCAGGGAACAGTCTGTTCCGAACAGCCTGTGTGAGGGCACTGGGGGAATACCACGGCAGGAGGAGGGGTGGCCCCTACCTGGGGTAGCAGGCAACTGACATTAGCAGTGAGGTCCGCAGCGGGAGTGATCCAAAACGCCAGGCAGGGCTGGGATGTGGCTCAGTGTAGAGTGCTCGCCTAGCCTGAGCAGGCTCTGGGCTCAATCCCCAGGACCCCCAGAACAAAAAAACACACAAGCCAACTAGGGGAAGCAACAAGTGCTGTGGCCTAAGAAAAAAGCTCAACTAGAGGAGAGAAGGTTTAAACGGGAAGGTGAACCTTGGACTTATCACAAAGAGGCCTCTAGATGGGACAATCAATACGGCCTGGGACAAGCCAGGTGAGTACAAGGGCCAGGAAGGAGACCAGCCTGGACTCAGAAAGAGTGAGGGTTGCTGGGCACAGTAGCACACACTTAAAATCCGAGCTGAGGCAGGAGGACCGGAAGTTTGAGACAAGCCTAGGCAACTTCTCAAAAAATGGAAAGAGGGCTAGGACTGTAGCTCAAGGGCTGAGCGCTTGCCTAGCATGTGTAAGATACTGGGTTTGATTGTCAGCACCACATAAAAATAAACAAAATAAAGGCATGCTGTCCATCTACAAAAAATTTTAAAAAATTAAAAAAAAAATAGAAAGGGGGCTGGGGTTGTGGCTCAGTGGTAGAGTGCTTGCCTAGCATGCATGAGGCACTGGGTTCAATCCCTGGAACCACATAAAAATAAACAAATAAAATAAAGGTATTGTGTCCACCCACAACTAAAAATAAATAAATAAATAAGTAAAATAGAAAGGACTGGGAATATAGCTCAATGGTAAAATGCCCCTGGGTTCAGTCCTCCATACTGCCACCACCTCACCCCAAAAAAGGAAGAATGAGGGTTATCCCAGCTACTTGGAAGGCTGGCAGGAGGACTACAAGTTTGAGGCCAGCCTCTTAGTGAGGCCCTGTCTCAAAAAAAGGGCTAGGAATACATTTCAGTGGCAGAGCGGTTGCCTAGCATGTATGCAAGGTCCTGGGTTCAATTCCCAGTAACACACACACACCCCATAAAAGAAGAGGGTTACATAAGAGGCTGGTTACCAAAAGGGACAGTCTGGTTGGAGCAGATGCTGGGGCTAGGAGGCGTTTCTTGCCCACCAGGACCTACCATGAGCAGATCCTTGCCCTTGGGCTCCAGATTAGGCACAATTTCCTCCAACCCCTTCCTGGTCCACTTGGGGAAGCTGCCCTTATAGTCAGGCAGCTGGGTGACCCCTGGCCATGTGGCTTCACTGGGTGTCCCCAGGGTGCGAAAGATACGAAATAGTTGGTCAATTTCAGAGTCACCGGGAAACAGTGCTTTATGAGTCATCTGGAAAAGGGAAGAAGAGAAGGCGTGTGTTTGACAAAGTGTCACAATGAATCCATCCAACGCCAGAGAAGTGGCCAGAACCAGGGAGCTACCTTTAGGAGGTCATTCCCAGGGCTGTGCTAACCGTTCCAGCCTTTTCTGAATAAAGCTGGGTTCCTGGTCCTGTAGCCAGTCCTAGCCACCCCTCAATCCACCTCTAACAGAGGTATCAGTGAGCCCCACCACCACCCCATAGGACACTGCCTATGCCTCCTTGGGACCAGGCTCATCTCTCTCTCTCTCTACCATCTCTGCAAAGATGCAACCAATGCTCCAGATATCCACAGCTGTGGAATAAAACTTGCTGCCCAAGAGGATCTCCGGGGCTCGATACCACAGTGTCACCACCTGTGGAGTCAAGAAAGAAATAGCATAATTCAGGGTGGCTGAGAGCACAGGTGCCATCCTGTCGTTCCCTCCCCCTTGTCCCTCACTCTACCTCATGGGTGTAGGTGCGCAGGGGCACCCCGAAGGCTCGAGCCAGGCCAAAGTCGGCCAGCTTGAGGGCTCCAAACTCATTGATGAGCAGATTCTGGGGCTTCAGGTCTCGGTGGATGACCCGATGAGAGTGGCAGAAATTCACTCCCTGCAGTAGCTGGAAGAGGTAGCTCTGCAGAAAGGAGTAGGAGGAGCCTCCTGAGCCTAGGTGGCTGGTGCGGGGCCGGGGCGGGGTGTGTGTGTGTGTGTGTGTGTGTGGCCGCCTTGCCCTTCTGTCTGTTCCTTGGCACCTTAACTAAGCGCAGGGGGAGCTCTGAGACTGGCATGGAGTCCATGTACTTCTTCAGGTCCTGGCTGAGGAACTCGAACACCAGGTACAGCTTCTTCTCGCTGTGCACCACATCCAGCAGCCTGGCAGGGAGATGGAAGTCAGGACGCCATCTTCTTGGTACCACCTTCCCTGGCTCCTTCCCCAGCTCACCTGACAATGTTGGGGTGCTTCAGTTCTTTGAGCAGGGAGATCTCCCTGATGGCAGTGCTGGGGACCCCCTCCGTTTCCCTGCCGGAAAGGAGGGCACAGCCAACGGGTAAGAGCAGGAGTCACTTCTAGCCAGAGGGATCCACTTCTGTGGTCCTCACTCCCATAAGGATGACCTGTCCTGAGATGGACACCCTGAACACCTCAAGCTTCACACAGCAGTGCCAGGGCAAAGACTGACCAGGGGACAGGGAGTAGGGACGAGGACAAGGGCTGCACCATGGTTGCAGTATGACTGGACAACACCTGGAAAAGGGGTTGAGCCTGAACCCTTGAATTGAGGACATGGAAGGGGAGCTCCCAGGCGGTGGGTTGCTGGGGCACGGGTTCCCATCATCCCAGCACTCACAAATCCAGCCTGATCTTCTTGAGTGCCACAAGCTGCCCAGTCTCCTTGTTCTTGGCCTTATAAACCACCCCATAGGTGCCCTCTCCAATCTTCTCTACCTTCTGGAACACATCCATGTCCGCAAAGCTGTCCAGGAAGAGAGACGATACCCCGGCATTCGCACCCTGTGCACAGCACCCCCGCTGCCCGCCTCCCGCCTCCATGTAACACCCTGCCCAGCACCAGCCTGTGTCCCTGCCCCCCCTGAACACTGCCCATTCTGCTTGGGAACCTGTCCTAGGGATGGCGCTGCCCCTCGCTGGGACGCTGCGCAGCCCCAGACCTTTTGCCCAGTGCCTGGCTACGGAATGCAGGAGGGCCCAAACTTCTTCTGCCTAAGCCCCTGTGTCAGCCCAGCCAAGCCCAGGTTCTGGGAGCACAAGACTGCCCAGAAGGGCTGCCAGGGATGAAGGACAGTGGGAGGCAGAGGTCACAGGTTAGGGAGGGCTTCTGAAGCCATAGTCCTACTCTAGGCCACATGGTCAAGGGCCAGGGCCTAGGCTGGGCCTGTTTGGCCATGTTTAGCCTCCTTTGAGGGCAGAACCTTGGCAGGGGCAATCCCTGTGAGTTCTGGGCCCCCCACCTGGCTCCTGGTCCCCCAAACCCTTCCCTCAGACACCCAGCCCAGAATTCACCAGAAGCCTGAGCGGCTGCAGCCTCACTACCAAGTGGGTTGCCTGCTCCGCAGCTCCCCCTCCTGGTCCCTTCCAGCACAACACCACATGCACACACGGAGAGGTCATGCCCACTGGGCCTTTATTCAGGAGGATCTTCTGGAACCTTCTGTGACCCCACAGGAGGCATAGCCCCAGGGCCTTGGAGCTCCACTGTCTGGAGCCTCCTGGAGGGTAGGGGTGTCAGACCTTGACACCTGCTCCTAGGCTCTCATTTCTGGGACAATCCCAACATAGAGGAAGAGGCTGGATTGGCCACCCTGCCCCTCTACTCTCTGGCTCCAGTCAGACGCTGTCATTCAGGGAAGCGTCTACACTTCTGCAGTGGCTCTAGCAGCTCAAAGGTTTGGCCTCAGGAGTAGGTGGGGGGCTGCTGGCGTCCTCACTTCCTATTGGCTGCTGCCTCTCTCTTGCTGGTACAGCCGCTGCTCCAGGATGGCTTGTTCTAAGGAAGGCAGATTTATCCCTTCCACACAGGTCAGCAGCCGGGCCTTCACCACGTAACCGCCATCTGAAAGAAACACCAGGGCATTGGCATTGACTAGGATACACCCAACCTATGCTTCTGGGGATTTCCACTTGCTGGGTCCTGAGTTTTGACAGCTAGAGGTGGAGGCAAGACAGATGGCATGTGCAACGCTGGCAATTTGTCCTCTTGGGCCTCAGAACTGTGGGCCCACATGCACACAGCACATGCCTGGAATTTAGCCAGCATCCCGAACGTTCCATATTTGGGGAGGTGGGTTCTGGAAGATGGACCCTCGACTTCCCACCTTTGCCACATAATTTCTTGGCCTCCTTTGTTCCCAAGTGCCCAGGGTCAAGGAGGGGTCCCATCACCATCCTAGCTCTCCATGTGTCCCAAGGAAAAGGCCTCCTTGGTACCTGGCAACTGGAGACCAGGCAAAGAGAAACTCATGTTTAGTAAATACAAGGGACTGAGTTCAAGGCAAGTTGGTCCTGAGAGGGGCAAGTCACCCAACCCAGAATGAGACTTGGAGCTACTAACACATGCAGTGGTGACCTGATACTTACTATCAATGTTCAGGTGACAGCACACAGGAAGGGCATTGGGGTTTACACTAACAGATGCCCATCTATTTTCAGGTGGACCAGTAGCTTACACCTGTAATCCCAGAGACTTGGGAGGCTAAGACAGAAGGATCCCAAGTTCAAGGCCAGCCTCAGCAATTTAGAGAGGTCCTCCGCATTTTAGTGAAATCATCTCAAAATAAAAAATAAAAAGGGTTGGGGATATAGCTCAGCGGTAAAGTACCCCTGCATTCAACCCCTTAATACCAAAAAAAAAAAAAAAACAAAAAAAAACACTTGTGTTCTCTCTGCTCTTTGGACACTTTAATAAATATGTTCAATGTTCCGGGACATTATCCTGTCTTCTTTTGATGCACAGAAACTCTCTGATTATTAGATAAAGACAAGCCTACTCTTCTTTCCAGTTCAGGCCACTTATCCACTTAACACTGCCTGGGGGAGAATTCAGTGTCCACTGTCTAAGAGGGGCTTGTGAGGTTGCCTGTGTCAGCTTCCATCACCCCAGCGCTGGGCTGCAGACATAGCACAGTCAAGGAAGGCATGGGTGCAGAGTTTGGGGATGTATCTCAGGGTAGAGCAATCACCTGAGGCCCTGGTCTCTATCCCCAGCATGCACATGCGCGCGCACACACACACCACACAGGAGTGGGTGCGTTACAAAATCTGGGTCTACTGATGGGTGTAGGTCGTTGATTCTCACCACGCAGGCCTCTTCAGTCTGGTATCTACCCTGATCAATCAAACAGTATTATTTTCCTATTTCCTCTGTTTTTTGTTTTGTTTTGTTTTGGTGGAACTGGGGGTTGAACTCAGGGGCACTCTACCACTGGGCTACATCCCTAGCTCTTTTTATTTTGTTTATGTATTTATTTAAATTTTGGGTCAGGGTCTCACTAAGTTGCTGAGCCTGGTTTCAAGCTTGTGATCCTCCTGCCTCAGCCTCCAGAGTTGCTGAGATTACAGGTCAGTGCCTAGCCTGCCTAATCTTTACTAGACAATGAGAGCCTGGCCCTCTTAGGGCACACACAGCCCATAAGGCAGCTGCAGGTGTTCAGGACAACCGGGCAGAACAAGAACAAAATCAGAGCACTTTAATTCACAGTTGGCATTGTTAAAATTTTCAAAATAAGGGCGAGGGGTATATTCAGTGGCAGAGTGACTGGTGTGCGTTCAGGCCCTGGATTCTATCTCATCACTGAAAAACAAAACTCAAAATAGGATCCTATATCAAATATTTTCATACTTCCTGTATGAAGATTTTCTTAGGAATCTGCCTAAATTTCACAGAATTTTCCATAGCGTATGCCTAGCAGCTATTTCCTCCTTGGGAAACCCAGACTTCTGTATCTATATTGCAAAATATGTTGCTTCTCCTATGAATGAGAAAAGGTATTAACTTGTGGGGGTGTAGTGGTCACACCTGTAATCCCAGCAACCCACGAGGCTAAGGCAAGAGGAGCCAGCCTCTGCAATTGAGTGAGACCCTGTCTCAAAATTAAGAAATAAAAAATGAGCTGTTTGCATAGCTCCGTGGTAAAGCACCTCTGGTTTCAATCCTCAATACCATTAAAAAAAAGCATTAACTAAGGAAGTGAGCTTTATGATAGTCACAGGGACAAACTGGGCAAAATGTTATCCATCTGCAAAAGCCCAGAGTAAACAGAATGAAAAGAAGGGTGCTTGCAGAAGCCTGTGGTGTGGGAGAAGGGAAGAGCTCATGACTCACATAGCTGAAGAAATGGTCACTCAGGGGAATTTCTCCTTGCAAAGATAAAGAACTGAGAACAAAGAAGGTTGCAAAATACAGAAGGCAGTGGGCTGGGATGTGGGAGGGGGACAGGGAAATAGGTGTCACTGAGGAAGTGAATCTGAAGGGAAGGAAGGTGGCTAGGCTAGGAGATGCCTCTTTGTTTTAAGTTTGATGATCTTTGTCCCTGGGTTCAATCTCCAGTACCAAAAAAAAAAAAAAAAGTTTAATGATCTTAACTGACTTTAGGGTAGGCCCCGGAGCCCAGCCCAATGGCGCCCTGGTAAGGAGGAACCCCTCTTCTGCTCAGCCTGGAGGGAAGGGGCTACGGAGGGGTGTGTATAATTTGAGGAGGGGGCTGCTGCTGTGGCCTCCATCAGCTGGGGTGTCAAAGGAGAGGTAACTGGAGAGATGGGAAGGGAGGGGTAGCTGGGGAGGAGGCGGACCAGGAGACCTGGAGGGACTTCCAGGCAGTGTGGAGGGGGCCCAGAGAGAGAATGGGTGCTGAAAGCAGGGCGCTCTCGTCCACGGGGGCCTTGATCTGCGCTCATCATCAGGGAGGGTGGGTGTCATTGGGCTGGAATGGCAGAAGGCAAGGGCTGAAACCTCTGCAGAAAAGTGGGGAGAGAGGCGGGAGCACACCCCGGAGTCCCGGGTCCATGGGTCCTGGCCGGCCAAAGAGCAAAGCTGTGGAAGGGAGTGAAGGGCAGGAAGGCACGGAGAGCAAAGTTTCGGTGGCAGAGGTGGAGCCACCCGCAAAGACCAGGTCCAAGGTGCAGGAGTGGGTGGGCGTGCCAGGCGGATCTGGAGCAGAGGTGAAGGGTGGCGCAACTGGCTGGCAGCAGGAGAGGGACAGGGGTGGTTCCATGGACCTGCTGAGCCTGCAGGATCTGGCCTCACCTCTGGGTTCTGTGGGGTGTGTGTTGTGGGAGCCTGAACAGGCCCCAGGGCAAGGGCTGTGGGCCTGGGGAAAAGCCAGGTTTCAGCAAAGGCAAGAGCATAATAAGGGGTCGGAAAAGGAAGGCTTCGGAAGGCACAACAGGAAGTTTCCCAGTGCAGGGAGGAGGGCCAAGGGAAGAACAAGAACAGTGGGATTCAAATAAGTAAGCACGTGTGGGGTCCAGGCTGAGAGCTCCCGGTGCACCTGGCTCAGAGGGACAGCTCCTAGAGCTTCATGGCGTCACTATGGCTGATGACATCTGTATGTTTCAGCATAGCTGGCAGAGAGGATTTTGAATATCCCACATCAAAGAAAGGTTAAACGCTTGAGGTGAGGAGTATGTCAACTACCCTGGTCTGACCATTACACATTGATACCTATACTGAAATGTGTCAGTGCACCTCATAAATTCATATAATTACCATGCGTCAATTAAAAATACTTAAAACAAAAACACGGGTGTGGTGGCACACACCTGTGATTCCAGCTTCTCTGGAGGCGGGAGGATCACAAGTTCAAGGCCAGACCCATCAAGTTAGCAAACCCTTGTCTAATTTAAAAAGTAAAAAGGGGGGCTGGGGATGTGGCTCAAGCGGTAGCGCGCTCGCCTGGCATGCGTGCGGCCCGGGTTCGATCCTCAACACCACATGCAAACAAAGATGTTGTGTCCGCCGAAAAACTAAAAAACAAATATTAAAAAAAATTAAAAAAAAAAAAAAAAGTAAAAAGGACTAGGATGTAGCCCAGTGGTAAAGCACTCCTGGATTCAATCGCCAGTATTGAAAAAAACAATAATAATTAAAAACAAAATAAACCTGGATTTTGAGCACAGTGGCAATATAATCCCAATGACTCAGGAGGCTGAGGCACAAGTTTAAGGCCAGCCTGGGCAGTTTACCAAGACCCTGTCTCAAATAAAAAATAAAAAGGGCTGGGGTGTGGTGGTGTATGCCTATAATCCCAGCAGCTTGGGAGGCTGAGGCAGGAGGATGGCCAATTCAAAGCCAGCCTCAGCAACTTAAGCAAGGTCCTAAGCAACTCATTGAGACCCCGCCTCTAAATAAAATATAAAAAAGGGCTGAGCATGTGGTTCAGTGGTTGAGTGCCCCTGGATTCAATGACCAGTGCTGCAATAAAATAAAAAACAAAGTAAAAATAAATTTTAAAAGAGGGCTGGGGGTGAAGCTCAGTGGGACAGAGTATACTTAGCATGTGGGAGGGCCTTGGTTTGATCCCCAGCAGTGCACGCAAATAATAATAAATAAATAAACATAGTTGGCTTTATTTGTTAAAGGTCCCACCCCATTTGACATCCACAAAAAATCCCAACTCTGCTCCAAACCCTGCCCGCCTCCTGGCCTACTGTCTCATCTTGTTTCAACGCCCACCTATATTTGCAATTGGGTTTTAGGTTTCCAGACATGGACCCCGGGGTCCAGAGAGCTCTCAGGATTAACAGCAGGGGTGGAGATCTTTTATGCAAAGCCTCTTTGTGCTCACCCCTGCTCCTCCCATAACTCTCCTCAATCAATTATGAGGGCAGGAACCCTGTGAGCTCAAAGGCTTAAGTCTAATAATGATTAACTTTTATTAAGTCAAATATAATTAAAGTAAGTACCATTTGATTACTTTTTTCTCTGATGTATTTAATCCAGAGTTAAAACACTATTGTGACTTTCAGGAAGTATAAATCAAGAAAATATTTGTATCTTTTAAACTATAAGTTCTACTTGAGGAAACTGCACTGAAGAAAAAGTCAGAAAAGAGACAAAGATTAGTTGGTTGTGGTGACATAGGATGCATCCTGTACTCTCAGTTACTCAGGAGGCTGAGGCAGGAGGATTGCCGAGTTCAAGGCCAGCCTGGAAATTTACCCAGATGCTGTCTCAAAGTAAAACGAAAAGGGCTGAGGATGTGGCTCAGTGGTCAAGTGCCCCTGGGTTCAATCCTCAGTACTACTACAGCAACAAAACCCTTAAAGATAGTGCAGGAGAATGTTATCTGCAGCATTCTTTCTTACTCTTTTTTCTTTTGTTCTCTCTGTTACACTGACGTCCTAGCCGATTATTACATCCCTATCATTTCCAAGCCTTGGTTTTCTTGTTTATGAAATAGCAATAAGACTCAAATTAAGGGCTGGTGGGCAGAGTCAAAAAGACAGAATCCACCTCAAACTAGGCCTGGGCACGTTGTAGCCTTCAGAAATTTGTGGCTTCTCCTATAATCCCAGTGGTTCCAGAGGCTGAGGTAGGAGGATCACAAGTTTAAAGCCAGCCTCAACAACTTAGCAAGGCCCTAAGAAACTCAGTGAGACCCTGACTCTAATAAAATACAAAAAAGGGGCTGGGGATGTAGCTCAGTTGTTAAGCGCCCCTGGGTTTAATCCCTGGTACCAAAAAATAATAATAATAATAATAATAAATAATAATAATAGTGGCTTCTCTCTCCTCTTTGTCACTTCTCCACAGTCCCTCTCTTTGACTTGGCACCACATGGCAGGTCCACTCTGAGTCTCCTATTCTGTCTGTCTCCCAAGAGTCCTTGACTTTGTGGACTGATTTGGAAGGAATGCTGACCCTAATGAGGCACCCCATCACAAGCCTACCTCCTACTTCCTGACTCACCCCAAAGTGCCCCAACTCAGAACCCAGAGCAGAATGCAGTGTGAGGCGGAAGCTCACCGTCCTCTTGCTCGAGCTCCCCAAGGACCACGTACAAGGAGCCCACCTGGGCCTGGAACGGCTCCACCAACTTGGTACAGACAAGAACCTGGTGCTGATCAGATCCGTGCTGAGCCCTCAGGGTCACCCTGGACTGGGTCACGTCATAGAGGCACAACCTGGAGAGGGGAGGAAGCGAGATCGTTTCTATCGATAGAGCCACCACAGAACTCAAAAGGTTTTAGGAGGCCAATAAACCTGGGGAAATCCACAGCCACCTTCAATGCACCCAAGAAAAAACTAGAAACAACAAGTGTTTCAGTCTACGTTATAGACCAGGGGATGACTTTCATTTAAGTTCCTTCCCCTTGTCTTCACTTTTCTTAATGGTATTTTGTAATTTAATCTTGTTGCTATCCAATGTAGTTGTTTTTTTTTTTTTTCTTTTCTTGTATGTTTTTCACTTTCTGTGTCTTAGCTGAGATTTCTGCTGATCACAAGGACATTGTGAAGATGTGTTCTTGATTATTTCTGGACATTTCATGATTTCAGCTTGTATTTCTGTGATACAGTGCAAATTATTATTCTTTTGTATGTTGTGAGGTAGGGATCAAATTGTTTTTCTGAGAAGTGAGTTGCTGGGCAATTTTATCACTATGCAATCAGCATAGGGCACACTTATACAAACCCAGGTGGCTGCCTACCACACTATGTTGAACAGATTATGGCTCCTGGGCTACAAACCTGTACCACATATTACTGTGTGGAACATGTAGGCAATTGTAACCCAAGAGTAAGTATTTGTGGACCTAAACATATCTAGACATAGAAAAGGTACAGTAAAAATATGAGGTGAGAGGCTGGGGTACTGGCTCAGTGGTAGAGCGCTTGCCTAGCATGCGTGGGGCCCTGGGTTCAATCCCCAGCACCACATAAAAATAAACAAATAAAATAAAGATATTATGTTCATCTGCAACTAAAAATATTTTTAAAAATATGAGGTAATCATAATTTTTTGGCTCCATTACTCCAATATAATCTTTTTTTTTTTGAATGTGTATGTGTGTATGTGGTTCTGGGGACTGAGCCCAGGGGTGCTTTACCATTGGGCTACATCCTTAATCCTTTTTTTGTTTTATTTTGTTTTTAGAATCAGGGTCTTGCTAAATTGTTGTAGCTGGCCTTGGATTTCTGAGCCTCCCAAGTAGCTGGGATTACAGGCATGTGCCACTCACTGTACCCAGCTCCATTTTAATCTTATGGGACCATTGTCATATAAAATCTCTTGTTGACCTGTATGTTATGCCATGCGTGATGGTATATTTAGATGAGGTAGATTTATACACGTGACATGAAAGCACGTCTAGCACATGCAGCTGTGTAAGTGCATAAACGGTACAATATAGAAACACCACAGAACCTCATCTAGGCTAAAATATGTCCTCAGATGTGTACACACATACCCCGGGATGGGCCCCATTGAATTGCATTTCCTGGGACCCACGTCCTCATGCAGAGCCCTGCCATGCTGAATAGGGCTGATCTGGGTAACCAGCGGATTCTGCAGGAATGAGGGAGAGTGACTTCTGACTCTGTCATAAATACATGGTGGCCTCCACCTTGCTTTGTCTCTTGGATCGCTCATTCTGGGAGAGACAGCTGTTAGAGAGAGCCTCACACAGCCCTATGGAGAAAGCCACATTGTCCCGGGCTGAGTGTTCCTGCCAGGAGCCAGCAATAATTTGCCAGCCAAGTGAATGAGTCACCTTGGAAGTGGATCCTCTAGTCCATCAAGGGACAAACGGCACCCATGGCCATTATCTGGGCTGCAATCTCATGAGAGACCTGAGCCAGACCCACCCAGTTAAGCCACCCTTGAATTTCTGACCCACACTAACTGTGAGATAATAAACATCTGTGGTTTTTTGGCGTGGGGGTTACTAGAGATTTAACCCAGGGGTGCTTTACCACCGAGCTACAACCACCAGCCTTTAATTTTTTTTTAATTTTGAAACAGGATCTCATTAAGTTGTCTAGGGCCTTGCTAAATTGCTGAGGCTGGCCTTGAACTTGGGATCCTCCTGCTTCAGCCTCCCGAGCTGCTGGGATGACAGCATGCACCACTGTGCCCAGCTAAGGCACTATATTTGAGAGTGATTTATTATACAGAATATGCAACCAACAGAGTATACATGTACATACATATATTGGCCACCCAGATGTATGTATATACATACATATGAACATGAAAAAGTGTAGAAAGATGATCACAAAATGTTAGCAGTAGTTATCTGGACAATGGGATTGTAAGTGATTTTGCTTTCTTTACTGGACTCCCTATATTTTTACAACGAATACATATTCATTTTTAATAATTAGACAAAACTATATAAAACTACTCTAATTGCTTTATTTTTCAGGGGGGAACCATTTAAACATTCCCCCTCCCACCATGTGACAAGACCACCTTTCTCACCTGCCAAATGTTCTCAGGGTGCCCCCATCAGGAACCTGGCCAGCACTGACCTCCCAGGGGAAGTAATAGATCCCAGGTTTGGGCAGCATTGTTGGTTCCTGAAACCAAATAGGATGGATTTTTGAAGTTTCCTGATAAACCAAGCAAAACACAAAACAGATCCAGAGATGCACAAGACCGACAATAACACCTGGAAGACTAGTTCTAGTCGGGAGAGATATACAATTGAAAACAGTTTTGAGCTCGGCATGGTGGTGCACACCAGTAATCCCAGCAACTTGAGAGGAGGAGCAGGAGGACCACAAGTTCAAAGTCAGCATCAGCAACTTAGCAAGACCCTGTTTCAAAATAAAAAAGGCTGGGGAAGCTAGGCGTGGTGGCGCACATCTGTAATCCCAGTGGCTCTGGAGGTTGAGGCAGGAGGATTGCAAGTTCAAAGCCAGCCTCAGCAAAAGCAAGGCACTGAACAACTCTGTGAGACCCTGACTCTAAATAAAATACAAGATAGGGCTGGGGATGTGGCTCAGTGGTTGAGTGGTGCTGAGTTCAATCCCCGTGTATCCCCCAAAATAAATAAATATCAATTTCATTAAAAGGGAGGGGGCTGGGGATGTGGTTCAGTGATTAAGCACCCCTGGATTCATTCCCTGTCACTAAAAACAAAAATTCTTTTGATAGGTTATTAATGCACATAAAACACACACCCACCCACAGACCATATGGAGAAGTACTGCTTCTTACTCCAATCTCAATGCAACCCATTCCCAGCAATGCCCAAAAGCATGGGTCTGTAAAGGAACAGACAGCACTTCCAGCTTCACGAGCTAGACGATGTCTGTTGTAGCTATAACAATTTTCCTTATACTAGGTTTCCTCTCAAATATTCAAGAACGGGCTGGGCCTGGTGGCACATGCCTGTAATCCCAGCAACTTGGGAGGCTGAGGCAGGAGGATCGAAAGTCCAAGGCCAGCTTCAGCAATTTAGCAAGATCTTGTCTCAAAATTAAAAAAAAAAATAGAGAGCTGGGGATGGGCTCAGTGATAGAGCGCCCCTGGGTTCAATCCCCAGTACCATAAAATAAAATGTTAGAGAACTAGGGATTCAGGGATAATTAATTGTTCAATGACAAAAGAGTCCTGAAAGCAAGAGGTTTCAACTGTTCCTTGTCAGGACAAGCACATAGAGATGGAAATGAAGATAGATGATAATGAAATAACCCTAAAAACCCCGTAGAAAACAGATGACACAGCCTCAGTCCAGAAGTTGAATATAACCTAGAATATTGCACAGTTGGTATTGTTACAAGGAGGTCATTGGGCAGTGTTGCAAGTCAATGTGCCACGGACATTTTGAGAAGCTGCCAAGAGCAGGCTTGGTTTGTACAGATCAGGAGCGACGGGCTGAGTCTCAGCTGGCCCCATCCCCTTAAATGTGCATGTCGTGAATTGCCGTGGCCAGTGAGCGGAACTGTCGGTCACTAGACATGAAACAGCCCCCTAATCACCTCTGGCATGACCAAGAAGCAAAAATCGAAAGAAAACAAAAAATAACCAAGGAGAGAAAAAAACAGAGTAGTGGTCCGTTAGGGGTCATGGGGGACAATCCCCTTCAGTCCAGCAAAAAGATGACACATGGTGGCTGTGGTGGCACATACCTATAATTCCATCCACTTGGGAGAACAGGAGGGAGAGTCTTAGCCTGGCAGCTTACTGAGAGCCTGGATCAAAAGAAAAACTAAAAAATAAAATAAAATTTAAAAAGGGCTGGGTATATAGCTCAGTGATAGAGACCCTCTGGGTTCAGTCCCCAGTCCTGGGGGAAAAAAAAAAAGTGGAATAGGTTATAGCTCAGGGGTAAAATCTCCTGGGTTCAAACCCCAGTACTGTTAAAATTTTTTTTTTTTTTTTTGTAGATAGACATAATATCTTTATTTTATTTATTTATTTTTATGTTGTGCTGAAGTTTGAACCCAAGGCGTCACACATGCTCTATCACTGAGCCCCAGCCCCAGCACACACAGAGTTTGATTTAGGAAAGTAGATACATATTCAAAGAATTGGGGCAATCTTGAGAGACACCTTTGGGATAAAGTATAAAGAATACACATTCAAGGGAGAATGTGGACTATCTGCAGAAGGAGAGAGTGCCCTGTGTCTGCATTTATTTGTTTGTTTGTTTATATTTTTGGCACTGGGATCTTTTTTTGTTTTCTTTTCTTTTCTGTTTTGGAACTGGGGATCAAATCTAGGGCTTCGAGTATGCGAGGCAAGCACTTTCACATCCCAGCCCTGTTTTTGGTACTGGGATTGATCCCAGGTGCTTTACCACTGAGTTACATCCCCAGTCTTTCTTGATTTTTTTAAAAAAATATTAATTCTTTTAGTTTTAGGTGGACACTATATTTTATTTTTATGTGGTGCTGAGGATCGAACCCAGTGCCGCATGTGTGCTAGGCAAGCACTCTACCACTGAGCCACAACCCAGACCCCTTAATTTTTATTTCGAGACAGGGTCTCACTAAGTTGCCCAGGCTGGCCTCAAACATATAATCCCCGTACCTCAGCCTCCCAAGTAGCTGGGATTATACATGTGCACCATCATGCCCAGCTTTTAAAAATTTTGTAATGGGCTGGGGTTGTGGCTCAGAAGTAGAGCGCTCTCCTAGAATGCATGAGATTCTGCGTTTGATCCTCAGCACCATATAAAAATAAAATAAAGACACTGTGTCTATTTATAACTAAAAAATAAATATTAAAAAAAATTTGTAATCACTACAGTAAAGACAGATTTGGGACAAATTGTCAATAGATGCTAAAAATACTACAAAAGTCTGATAAGAAATAGGTCTCGATATGTCTCCCTGCAGACTCCTTATTAATTACAAAGGGAAAAGGGATGCACTTCACAGTGGAGAACCTTAGCAAATACAGCTGTTATGGACCTCCTGATAAATACTGAGAAGGCATGGCACTTCTGTTGTATTCCTGCCTATGTGTCACCTGACTGTAAGGAATAACAGCCATGACTGAATTGAGGACACTGTGGGAAACAAGCTTATTGTAATTCTGAAGCGCAACAGTCACAGCAGACAGAGCGCTCAGGTAAGAGATGACAACAACATGACAACCATTGTGGACTGCACTGTGTCCTCCCAAAAAGACCCAGTGGAGAACTCTCAGGACCTCCGAATGTGCCCTTCATGTGAGACAGGTCTTTGCTGAGGTCCTCAGGATGGTCCTAACCCAACATGAGTGGTGTCATAAAAAAGGGAAAATCTGGATATAGAAACAGACACAATTTAAGGAGAAGGTCAATTGAAAATCAAGGCAGAGAGGGTGATGCGAATACAGGCCAAGGGATGCCAAGGATTGCCCACAAATCACCAGACACTGGGGCTGAGGATGTAGCGCAGTTGTAAAGTGATTGCCTGGCCTGCCTTAGGCCCTGGGTTCAAATCCTAGCCCCCCACACATACACACACACACACACACACACAAAATCACATCATTGGAAGCCTTTTAAAGGTGAGGCCTGGAACAGATTCTCCCTCACAGCCTCAGGGGAACCCACTCTGGACAGCTGGATTCCAGACTCCTGGCCTCTAGAACTGAGACAGTGACTTCTGCTGTTTAATCCCCCCAGTCTGTAGCACTTTGTTAGACCACTCAATATCATTTATGATGCTGCATTGGACCTTAGGCTGGAGAAAAAAAAATCGTGGTAAAGATCATTACTGGACAATTGTAAAACCATTTCTAAGACTGCAGATTAGATAACAGTATTGTATTAATGTTAAATTATCTTGGCAACTGTTCTGTGGGTGACCTTGCCCTTAGGAAATAAACATGGGTTCTTACAAGTAAGGATCAGGATTTCCATCTTGTTTTCTCAGATGGTTCAGAAAACAAAAAGCAAGTCAACAAGAGTTGACCTAGCAGCTGTGGCAAAAAGTTAACTAGTAGATCTGGGTGAAAGGTATGTTGATTAACTTTATTCTCCAATTCTCGTATAAGTTCAAAAATATTTCACAATAAAAAGACAAAGCTCACCAGGATCCAGCTCTCCAATGAAGCTACTCTACTAAATGCTGTGTAACTGTCATCGTCACATCCAGAGTGGCGAAGGGCAAAACTACTACAGTGTGAAGATGTCAACCAGCTTTATTTTCCATTCTAGAACCAGGCAATGCTGCATTCCATGGCACAGAATAAGTGTTCCAAGGGGTTGGGCAGCAGAGGTGGGCAGTAGAGGTGGGCTGCAGAGAGAGAGAAGCAGAGAAGGGCTGGCAAAAGAGACGAAGAGCAGAAAGGACTGGTCATTCCAAAGTCGCCTTCCTCCTAAGGCAGGGACAGGGAGACAGAACAAAATAGCTGACAGGTCAACTTCAAGGTTATTTTTTTGTAAGGATTAAATGATTAATGGACCTAAGGATTAAGGCAGAGGGAATCTCAGTGTCATGCTATTGGCCTGTTTGGGAAATTTGGCTGTTGACTTCATTCTCCTGATTTCAGATGGTCAGGTAACATGGGTGACCCTATCTTAATATTTGGTCTGGCCTGCTGGGTCCCAGTGCAGGAGTCAGAATTGTGGCCTCCTGTAATTTTTATTTAACAAGAACAATTGGCTTTCTAGAATATTAGGACTGGAAGTCTTTTGTTGAGCACCTTCTGTAGGATGGGGGCCTTTGCACTCACTCATTTTCTTTTTGTTTTAATTTTGATGTTGTTTTCTTTGTTTTATTTTATTGTACACTGACCATTTATTTTCTTCCTTCTTCTTCATTTTTTTTTTTCCTTTGCAATACCAGGATTGAACCCAGGGGTGCTCTGCCACTGAACTACATCTTTGCACCTTTTTGTTTTGAGGCAGGGTCTTGCAGAGTTGCCCATTCTGGCCTCAAATCTGTGATCCTCCTGCCTTAGCCTCCCAAGTCACTGGGATCACACTGACCCGTTTTCTTAACATGAACAGTCATGGATCACCAGACATCTGGGGAAAATTGCAATGTGAAAGAAAAACACTGATGAAATGAATAGCAAAACTGATCTAGGAGGAAACCCAAACAGCACAGGGAATAGAAAAAAAAATCATTTTTAAATTTTTTTGTGGTACTGGGGATTGAACCCAGAGGTACTCTACCACAGGGCTACATCCCTGGTCTTTTATTTTTCAGTTTAAGACAGGGTCTCATTAAGTTGTAGAGGCCAGCTTCAAACTGAGGCTCCCCCGGAGTCTCAGGAGTATGCCTCCAGAGCCACAGGGATCATAAGTACCACCTCCAAGTTTGCCCCTCACAGTCCCTGAAATTGTCACCTATCCCTCACAGTCCATGAAAAATGTCACCACACTCCATCGGCTTAAACTTAGGATCATTCTAGATGTGTCCTTTCCTCTCAAGGCCTCATCCAATCCCCACCCTGTCAGCTCTATCCAAGCTGGAGGGTGAGGGTCTCCCTGTCTCCATGGTCATCACCCCGTCCACCCCTTTACCAGGCCTCTAACTGGCCTCTTTCTACTTTGTCCTGCTACAGTTCATTCTCTTCACGGCAACCACGCGATGTTTTCAACAGGAAAAAAATGCTGTAGGGAGTATTTTTGGCCAAAACCTCAAGTCTGAGTCTAGCAGAGCCTCCAGATGTTAACCAACAAAGAACAGAAAGCTCAAAAACAGAGGAATATGTCAAAGATGCCACAGAGAAGGGAAAAATACGGATTGTGGGAAATTCCACAGGAAAAAAGATCCAGTTTCTTAAATAGAAATAAATTGAAGGGAAAAAAACATACAGGAGAAAATCATATACTGTCAAGATTTATACCCACCCACAGCAACTTGTGGACCTTGTGTGGACCCAGATTTGAACAAAGCAACCGTCTTTTGATGGAGGAAACTTGATTATATTTCGGGTCTGTGACATTAAGGAACTTGAGTTAAGATTTCCAAATGTGGGCTGGGGATGTGGCTCAAGCGGTAGCGCGCTCGCCTAGCATGCATGTGGCCTGGGTTCGATCCTCAGCACCACATACAAACAAAGATGTTGTATCCGCCGAAAACTAAAAATAAACATACTAAATCTATTCATGGACAACATGTAGAACTTGCTTAAAATTAATGTGGTAGCAACTGGTTGGAGGTGTAGTTGATCGCGGTGGAACCCGGGTACAGAAGTACATATGGAGTTCTCTATAGGACTCCCCCTACCTCTGTACCAGTTTTCAAATATCAATCAGACCACATGACTCCTTGTTGAAAATCTATGAAAGGTGCCCGATGACAACCACTAGAATTGAGAGCCTTTACTTGGCTGTAATAGCATGTGGGGTCCACTCCTGCCCCACCTTTCTGCCCTTCCCCTTCCTCGGCTCACATCTCAGGACCTGGACCTGCACATTCCTTTGGTTGGTTTCCTTTCTTTCAGGTCCCAGTTCAAATGCCTCTTCCTCTGTGAGGCCTTCCCGGTCCACCCATCTAAACTAGTATTCTCCCCATACCCAATTCTATCCATAACCTGATTCATTTTCATTATTTTGTTTACTAAACAATCAGATGTCAGATGGCACGGTCTTTTTATTTGTTTAAAGCCTGGATCTAGACTGCAGAGGAGAATTTGAAAGCCTTATTCCCTGCTGTGTCCCCTGTGCCTCATACAGGGTCTGGGACATTATTAAATATTCATGGAATGGGTGAAGAGATTCATCAAGAGAAAAGCGAAAACCAAAACCACCTGTCTCCACACGCAGTCTGGACACTGAGAACCAAAGCTACACTACAGGACTCTGCCAGAACTCTATATTCCTTGGCATTTCTTTACTTTTCTGAACTGTCTACCCAGCAAATGGCTGGAGCTCAACAGCCATTCTGTGCACTGAGATTCATTCAATTTCCTTGACTTGCTGTTTCCAATCATTTTAGACTATGGTTATTTTTTTTTTTTGGATCAGAGATTGAACTCAGGGGTACTCAACTACTGAGCCATATCCCCAGCTTTGTTTTGTATTTTATTTAGAGGCAGGATCTCACTAAGTTGCTTAGCACCTCACTTTTGCTAAGGCTGGCTTTGAACTTGCAATCCTCCTGCCTCAGCCTCCTGAGCCACTGGGATTACAGGTGTGCACCACTTTCCCCAGCTTAGACTATGGTTCTTGCCTACTCATAATCAAGACCCAAAATTGAAATTCTCAATAAATTTTAACCTTACCATCCCCTCTGAGACACTGCCAAAGTCTTGCCAGATAGTGATTCCCTTTTACCCAGTAAGCAATAAACTCAGCTTTATCTTATCAACAGCTTATTTTAGTTATATTTGTAGTGCCAGCTTTTTCTTTTCTTTTTTTGTACTGGGGATTGATCCCATGGATACTCTACCACTGAGCTACAGCCCCAGCCCCCTTTTTTTGTTTTTTATTTTGAGACAGGGTCTCACAAAGCTACTCGGGGGGTTCAGTAAAATGGCTGAGGTTGGCCTCTAAGCTGTGATCTTCCTGCTTCAGCCTTCCGAGTTGCCACCATAACCAGTAACAGAGTACCAACTTTTGTCAGGAGTAATAAAATCCACAATAACTTGGCGAAATAATGTTTAGTGGAGAAAGAGGTGCATTACACCCGTTAACCTCAGTTAACAGTGCCTTGCCCAGGTATACTGGGCCCGGAGAAAAAGAAACCATCAGCAACAATTATCTTATCTTCATTCAGCATTTTGATATTTTGTTCATGGTGGGGGTTTTCTTCATTTTGATTGTGGGGCTGGGAATATAGCTGGGAATATATGGTAGAGCACTTGCTTAGTATGCTGGAGGCCCTGGGTTCCATATTGCCGGCAAACACATAAACAAACTGCATTAAAATATTATTCATCTTTAGTATTGGCTCTAGAGCCTCCTTATAATTTGTATCCAAGGTGAATGCCAGTACTGTACTGCAAAAACTTAAGTATGTCGAAATTTACAAAAACAAATTAGGGAGAGGTAAAGGATTTGTGTAGTGTGCTACATCTTATCATGGCACGACCTCAAAAGGTAACTAAAATAAATGCAGAAATAATTTTTTTTGGGTTGGGGTACCAGGGATTGAACTCAGAGGCACTTGACCACTGACCCACATCCCCAGCCCTATTTTGTATTTTACTTGAAGACAGGGTCTCACTGAGTTGCTTAGTGCTTCACTAAGTTGCTGGGGTTGGCTTTGAACTTGCAATCCTCCTGCCTCAGCCTCCCAAGCTGCGCCTGGCCAGAAATAATTTAAGTATTTAATTTAGCAATCTTTCGAGCAATATTAACTAAAAGTGAAAAGTGGTTGCTTCTGAGGATGGGGAAGTCTTGCTTTTTATTATGAATCCTATGATTTTTTTGCTCGCGGGTGGGGGGGTGGGGGGTGGGGGGGTTGCGGGGTATTGAACCCAGGGCTTTGTGCATTCAAGGCAAGCACTCTACCAACTGAGCTATATCCCCAGCCTGAATCCTGTGATTTTTAGGCACATGTGCAGTTACCACTTTTTGACGATGATAGCACAAATAAAAAAGTCTGGATGCCAAGATCTCTAAGAACCGCCCTTCAGTTTAGGGAAACAACAACAAAAACTCTGGCCTGACGGGTGATGCAGACATGTAATCCCAGAGACTGGGGAGGCTGAGGCAGGAGGGTCACAAGTACAAGACCAGCCTCTGAAAGACCCGGTCTCAAAATAAATAAAGGCTGGGGATGTAGCTCAGTTGTAAGAGCGCTCCTGGGTTCACTCTCCAGTGCGGCACAGGCGCACACATACACGTAAAATCTATCCTCAAAGGCAGGTCTCAAGAGAAGCATGCCTATCTCATAGGGAACCTCTGTAAATCTGCACCCAGACCTCTACAGCCCACGCTGGCCCAAGCACACCTTTATTTTAATAGAACTTTGTCCCCAATCCTTTTTCTCCAGTCTGGGAAGATTCTGGGAAAACCTAGGTCTTCCCCCTACAATTACGCAAAGACCTCCCACACTCTCTCCGCCCATAGGCCCCTGAGTCCCATCCTTCCACTGATTCCGGGGACGGTTTAGCAAAAGGATCCGGAAGTGCGGGGCAGACGAGTGCCAGAGCGCAGGCGCAGACCTCTTTCGTGTTGTCCCGCCCTCTCCCAAATCCCCAGCCAACCTGTTCACGGTGTCCCCGGGCCTCAGGTCCCTATTTCCGCTCCGCGCGATCACGAGACGCGAGAGAGGCGCGATACCGAAAGCACCTGGCTCCCCCTTCACGCCCCGGGCAATCTGCTGACCTTCCACCTGGGTCCTCTTGGCCAGGGGTCGGGAGCAGGGGATTCGTCCGCTTTGCGGGCGGTCCCGGCGCGGGCGCCCGGGGTCACGCGCAGAGGGTGGTGAGGAAGAAGGGGCGGGCCGGGGCCAGCGGGGCGGGGACTCGCGACGTCCTGGGACTGCTCTTAGGGCTCAGCCGGCGCTAGAGCTGCGGACACTGTCGCTTCTGCCAGCACTGCCGCTGCCTCGTCTCCGACACCGGCCGATACCATGAACCCGGACCTGCGCAGGGAGCGGGCCGCCGCCACCTTCAACCCCGAGCTGATCACACACATCCTGGACGGCAGCCCCGAGAAAACCCGGCGCCGTCGAGAGATCGGTGAGGGCGGCGGGCCGGCCTCCGTTCTCTCGCAAGCAAGGCTGAGACCCCCTCGAAGAGGAGTCGGTGGCGCTGTGGGGCTTCGGGAGAGCTGAGACTCCCACTTGGAGGGACGGCCCATGACAGGGGTTGGGGGTCTCGCCCTTCCGGAGCTGTGCTCGCGATTCAGACCTGCAGTCAATGAAGGAGGGTCGATTTCGCTGGGGGCGCGGTGGCGCACGTCTGTAATCCCAGCTACCCGGGAGGCTCAGGCAGGAGGATCGCAAGTTCGAGGGCAGCCTCAGCAATTTAGCAAGACCCGGTCTCAATTTTTTCTTTAAAAAGGGCCGTGGTGCTGCTCAGTGTCAGACCGACCTTGGGTTCAATCCCCTGTACCGGGGGCGGGGCTTGGGGAATGTCTATCTTCCTCTTGATGTCCTTTAACTCCCTTGTAGAGAACCTGATTATGAACGACCCAGACTTCCAGCATGAAGACTATAACTTCCTCACTCGCAGCCAGCGTTACGAGGTGGCTGTCAAGAAGAGTGCTAGCATGGTGAAGAAGCTGAGGGAGTTTGGCATCGCAGATCCTGACGAAATCATGTGGTTTAAAAAGTAGGTATACCTTAGCACAGGGCAAGTATTGTTAGCCCAGACTTCACAGCTGCGGACTCTTTAAGCCTTTTATCATCATTCTTGGCATGTGAAGGCCCACACAAGCATAGTTTCGTGCCTATTGAAAGTTGTACCTGTGGAAAATAATGTGGTTACTTTTGTATCTAAGCTTTTTAGTGAGATGACATGTTTGTAGAATGCTGGTAATAAAAAGAGAGTTTTCATTCTCAAGAATTCAATCTCAGGAATCTTTTATTTTTCAAATTCTTTCACTAGCATCTGAATTTGGAGTGATTTTAAATGCAGGAAGAGGTTGCTCTTTCTAAGAAGGAGACCTACTAAATTTCTGAGTTTGGAAAGGTTTTCAGTTGCGAAACCAAATGTTGAAGTATTTTGTAGTAATAGCATTTTATTTTTATAAGATAGTGTAGTTCTTGAGTTTAAAATAATGGGAACTATGAGAATGGAAGAAGAACATTAGTCTAACCTCAGAATGAATTTGAAGTATTCTAAGAACCTAGCATTGTTGAATCTAGTGACAGGTTTAAATGGTTGTCTTGTGCAGGAAATCTGCCTTGGTCCTAGTGCTGGAAGAGAGTCTGTCTTTTTCTCAGACCACCTGTTTTCATTGCACTTGCTTTGGTTTTTTAATTAGATAAAGAAATATGGGGCTGGGGTTGTAGCTCAGTGGTAGAGCACTTGCTTTGCATGTATGAGGGTCTGGGTTCCATCCTCAGCACCACATAAAAATAAATAAATTAAAATAAAGATTGTGTCCATCTACAACTAAAAAATATATTAAAAAAAAAAAAAAGAAATATGGAGTTTCTGGCTTAACCTAAATTAACACTCCAGTATCAGATTGTTTTGGTCTATAGCATCTCTTACAAGTCTCATTTATTTCTGGGCATCTCCTTTTTTTAAGTTTCTGTGTTTTAGAGGAACTCCAATATTTTCATCAGTAAAGATTAAATTTGGGACTGGGAGTGTAGCTCATGGTAGAGGCTTGCCTAGCATATGCACAAGACCCTGGGTTCAATCCACAGCACTGCATAAAAATAAGTGAAAAAGCTGAGTGCAGTGGTGCATACCTGTAATCCCAGTGACTTGGGAGACTGAGGCAGGAGGATTGCAAGTTCAAAGCCAGCCTCCATAATTTGGAGAGGTCATAAGTAGTTTAGTGAAACCTTGTCTCAAAAAAATAACTGGGGGTGCAGCTTAGTAGTTAAGTACCCCTCGGATCAGTCCCTGGTACCAAAAAATAAATAAGTAAGTTAAATTTTGTGAATGTTGTATTTTCAAGAATGAAGATATACCATCCCCCAAAACCAAAATCCTAACATTTTCTCTGATAAGCAGATGCTGATTCATAATGGAGTGGGGGTAAGGAAGAATACAATTACTTTAGATTTCATAATGGGGTGAGGGAAGAGGAGGGGTTATGGGGGATGAATTATAGTAGAATGAATCAAGACATAATTATCCTATGTACATATATAACTATATGATCAGTGGGATTCTACATCATGTATAACCAGAAGAATGAGAAGTTATACCCTGCTATATATGATGTATCAAAGTGCATTCTGTCATGTATAACTAATTAAAACAAAAAAAATGATTATATATAAAAACATGAAGATATATGAAACATGTTACAAATTCTACCTTTGTGTAGTAATGCTCCCCTATACTACTTTCTCTAAGGCATTTAGCATCGATTTTCAACTTGGCTTAGTTATTATGAAGACGAAATGACCTACTCTGGCCCTTAACACTTTGCCCAGAACTCCATTCAATTTGTTTTTCAAAATTTTTTATTTTTGGTAACACAAATTGGAGTATTCTCCAATTGCCAATTATTCATTTTTGTTTCTGAGGTTTGTGACTCATGGCTGTGAGGATATTGAGGGAGAGTAAATTCTAAATTGTTACCAAATGACCTGAGTTGAGTTTGTAAACTTTTAAAAATTAGTTAAGATTGTGCACCTCTGTAATCCCAGCTCATGCCTATAATCCCAGAGGCTCAAGAGACTGAGGCAGGAGGACTGCTAGTTTGAGGCCACCCTCAGACTCTGTCTCAAAATAAAAAGGGCAGGAAATGGAGTTCAGTGGTAAAATGCTCCTGGGTTCAATCCCCAGAACCAAAAAAAGAATAGAAATTTGGGGTAGTTTTAGTTTTTTAAGTGGTTGATGCAGCCACTTTCAGAATTGGTGTACATTATAACTTGGTAGTTTGTGGTGTGTAACCAAACATAAGTGAAGTCACAGGAACTAGAATAAAGTTTTTGTGTTGGCTAAAGAGCCTGTGGACTCCAGTCAGCTTTTTTTTTGTGTATCACTTTTCACCTGAAATATTAAAGTATCAACTTTAACAACCCTTTGGTATCCTCCCACCTCCCTAGGCTATGACAGGGAGATCATAAATTAGATTGGAAATTAGTTTTGGCAGTTACTGCCTGAGATCAGATAAGCCAGAGCATATAATCCCATCAATATGATAAACTCATCAGTTGTGACCAATGTTTTGGTTTGCCACTAAAAAAAAATGTGAGTGGGGGCTGTGTAGCTCAGTGGCAAAGTGCTTGCCTAGTATGTGTGAAACACTGGGTTTGATCCTTAACACCACATAAAAACAAAATAAGGGCGTTCTGTCCATGTTGCCAGTTAACTATGACATACCATTAGTTGTGAGATATATTGGATTTCTTAAATGCTAAAATGAGGGGGAGGGCACTAGAATTAATGAAATACAGTAATATTTCTGGGGACTTGGGGCACTTATTTGTCTCTTTTACATCCATTTCTCCTGTCACAAAATAAAACTTAAAGAGCCTGTTTTGAAGCTGACTTAATATTGGTAAAATACTTTTTTAAGATTTTCCAATTTCAACAAAGAACTGTTTCTTCTAGGCTTTGCTGCTTGGAGAAATGTTTTACTAATCTTTCCTGTAACTTTGTCTTTATGCTGTTTGCTATGAAAAGAAAACTGTAAAATATTCTTTTTTTTTTTTTTTTTTGGTTTTCTGATTTTGTAATGAGACTCATATCTCATTCCTCATTCTTTTCTCCTCTTTAAACAACATCAAAATGTAAAATATTCTTAAGAGTTATTTGAAATTCTAATGAAGATCAGTCGAGTTTTTTGTTAACCTTCCTAGGTTTTCAAAGCTGGTTTCCAGTGGCTATGGGTGCAGCCCAGGGGTAGAGTACTGCTCAGCATCTGTGAAGGCCTGAGTTCACCCTAGCACCCCAGAAATAAAAATAAAAAATTAATTAAAGCTGGCTCCTTAAAAACCATTGTCAGATGGAATTAAACATCATTTAACACACTCAGTTTTTAAGTTGTTTTTCAGTACTGAGAATTGAACTCAGGGGTGCTCTAATATTCCCTAGCCCCACCCCCTTTTTTTTTCTATTGTGCTGGGGATGGGACTCAGGGCCTTGTGCACGCTGGGCAGGTGCTTTACCACTATGCTATATCCCCAGCCCCACATTTTGTTCTTGAGTTGAATTTTAAATGCCTAGAAACAAAAACATATTTATTAAGAATGAAAATATTTCATAGTTTTATTTTGTATCCCATATTTTCTATTATTTTCTCGAATTATTTTGCATTAATGTCATTTTTAAATTTTTTAATATTTATTTTTTAGTTGTGTCTTTATTTTATTTATCTTTATTAATTTATTTACCTTTATTTATCTTTATTAAATAATATCTATTTATTTATTTTAATGTGGTGCTGAGGATCAAACCCAGGACCTCACATGTGCTAGGCAAGCACTCTACTGCTGAGCCACCACCCCAGCCCCCATTAGTATCATTTTCAGAGTACTTTACTAAATTATTTGGCCTTTTAGGTTCTCTCATGGAATGTGAGTGCCTTAATAGTTTTACCCAAATAACCATGCCACTTTTTTGTCTTCTCTTTCCTTTTTTTTTTTTTTTTTTGGAACTGAGGATTCAATTCAGGGACATTTTACCATTGAGCCACATCCCCAATCTTTTTATTTGATTTTTTTTTTGGGAGGGGGTGGTGCTGGGGATCTAGCCCAGGGCCTTGTGCATGCAAGGCAAGCACTCTACCAACTGAGCTATAGCCCCAGCCCTATTTTTTTAAATTTTGAGACAAGGTCTTGCTAAGTGCTGAGGCTGGCTTCCCTAGTTGCTGGGATTACAGATGTGTGCTATGGGTGCCTGGCTCTTCTCTCTTTTTTTCTTATGGTACTGGGATGGAACCCAGGGCCTTTCAAGTGCTAAGCATGCATTCTACCATTAAGCTACATCCCCTGCACTTTTTAAATTTTATTTTAAGCTGGGCTTAGTAGATTGTTCAGGCTGACTTTGAATTTGTTGTAATCCTGTATTGGCTTCCTAAGTAGGTAGAATCTCAGGCATGTACCACCATGTCCAGCTACTGCTTTTATTTCTCAGACATTCTATATGTTTGTTTCTTTATATATTTATGAAAGGAAATGGGAAGGGTATAACTCCTGGTTGGTTTAGTGAGAGGTAGAATGCTTGAGATGTGGTATATTTTCCGAATTATGGAACTTGCATAATAAAGGAGTAAACTGCTGCTTAACTAGAGTACTTAGAAATAAACTTCCCTGTTCTGCATATTCTTAATCCTCCTATTTTCCTCTAATGTTTGGGCTAAAAGGCATTTTACTATTTTGGGGCTTTGTTGTTGTTTATTTCTCTATTTGCTTATTAAGACGTTGGCTAGCCAGTCATTTCTTGGATATTTGGCAGTGTTTATCCCTAGCATTCCTGAAATGTGATTTTCTACCCTAAGCTTATGACTGAAACCATTGGCACAGAGAAAACATTTTTTACTGATGCTAACCAGCAACCTCTATTCACTTTTACACGACTTTGGGTACATTCCTTCTAGTGGGATCTGTAAGAATTATAACAAATCACTGGTTAAATAGAAGTATTAGTATCTAGTCAGGTGAGGTAGCACATTTTTGTAATCCCAGTGACTTGGGAGGCTGAGGCAGGAAAATTGCAGCCTCAGCAACTTAGCAAGGCCCTAGCATCTTAGTGAGACCCTGCCTCAAAATATAAAAAGGAATGGGTATGTGACTCAGCAGCAGAGCACTCTAGGGTTTAATTGCCAGTACCTAAAAGTAATAATAATAATAATAATATCTAAGAGCATCTATCCAGAGAGTGGTTGATTTCTAATTGGTTTATGATTTGAATAAGATAGAAAACAATGAGATAGTTTGAACAGTATTTACTTAGAAAATAGAAAAATAAGAGGGTGCCTTGTATTTGCGGTTGCTTCTGTTAAGGAAGTAGGATGGCTTCAGGGCTTCCCTAGAGTGGACCGGCAGCTTACTCTTCCATGCCTTGTTCATACTCTGTTCCTGGACAGGCTGAGATATACTGCCTTCCTAGTCATTCATTGAGAACACATGAAGATCAGTAAGATAATATGTATTTTGTATTTTAAGCTCTTAGGATGTGTCAAAGTACAAAATACACCCCTAGAAAATCTACAAGACATCATAACCAAAACATACTAGTATGTGTAATTTGTATTTTGACTATTTCATGGATTTGTATTATGAGAAGATAGATGAGGGCTGAATTCAGTGTGATGTAGAGTTCCCTTAATCTGGGGTAATATTCATTGGCCTTTGGGTAAGTTTTTAACCTGTACACATGACCTATTGCCCATCTATGAACCCTGGGGACTTTTAGACATCTTTAATTCTGTTCTGGAATATACATTTACTCTTTGGTATATTTGCTTAGATCATTTTGGGAAAGATAGTTTAAATTATTCTTAAGAACTTTTGTTAACAGTTCTGCAAATCAGTGTTCTATGGAGTTTCTTTTGATGTTCAAAACAAACTAGTAAAACCTGAAAGTAATGCAAAAACAAATAAAACTTTAAAAAAAAATTCAACCCATCAAACCAGCAAATAACACCAACAAAACCAATTGTTTGAGATTGAGAGTAGAATTTAAAAAGGAATTCTGGGGTCTGGGGGTGTGCGTGGCTCTGGTTAAGTCTTTGCTTAGCATAGTGAGGCCCTAGTTTCAATCCCTACCACCAGAATTATGACCCTGAAATTACCAGAGGGAGAGAGAGATACCACCAGATCCTTATGTTGACTTTTTAGGTAATAAAATAGTAAAATTGACATTTAATTTAATAAGAAAGGGATTTCAGTTTTCCTGACCTTCATCCTAAGGGATAAGGTTGTTAGGATTGGGTGATAGGGATGCAGTTTCTAGAGTAAGGCTGAGATCCTTTTCTTTTCTCTCCTGTAGACTACAATTGGTCAATTTTGTGGAACCTGTGGGCCTCAATTACTCCATGTTTATTCCTACCTTGCTGAATCAGGGCACCACTGCTCAGCAAGAGAAATGGCTGCACTCATCTAAAGGACTCCAGATAATTGGCACCTACGCCCAGACGGAAATGGGTCACGGTTAGTCCACATCTGAGGGTCCGCGGGTAATCCACCTCAGGACTTCACTTAAAAGTGACTCCTGCCATTTTATTTTTATTTTTTTCTGCTGCTAGATGTTTTGGATTTTATTTTTAAATTGTTACTTAAAAATTTGGCTTCTCTTTTTCTCCTAGGTTATTTATTTTCCCCTAAATTGGCCCAAAACTCTGGCCTGTTTACATCCTTCAGTGTTATTTCTTAAAACCTTTTATCATTGTCCTGTGAACAAGTGCTAAGCAGTTTGGAAAGCTGTGGTTTAAAGATATCAAAGCACACTGTTATGTTGGTGCATTTATTAAAAACTTTGGAAATTCTTCAGAGGGTTAGTAATATTTGGAATATGTCTCTCTGCTTTAAGAAAATTAGATGTGGATTTTAATGGATACAGGGTGATGGCAGGTAAACGTCTTACTCTTCCGTTGATCAGTAGCAACCCTGAAGTTAGGAGAAAAATTGCATGGTTCTCTTCATCTGACTCCAACAGTCTTTACATATATTTTTCCATACATATCTGTGGACCCTGTGTTGCCAGTAATTCTTAAATTGTTCCTAAATGCCTGACTACTTTCAGTAATCTGAAAAGTAGTCATCTTAATGTGAAATAGGTTCATTTCATAGATAAAGCCATTGGCAGGTTTGAGTGTTTTGAATTTGAGCCTGCTCAGTCTCATCTCACTGTGAAAATGGAAGGGAAGGTGGAAGGGCTGAAAGAATCAGGAAAACTTAATTTTTAATTGGCTATTCTTTGATTTATGAATTGGTTTAAGGAAAGTGTTAGTTATCAAAATACCTCCATGGGGACTGCAGATTCTGTTCATATTACAAGCTCCTTACTAAAAACTCAAGACTTTGGTGTCAGGATACCAATCCTGAAATTAGAATCAAAGATTTCCTGAGGAAAGAAAGATAACATTCTTTATACAGTCTTCCTCTCTCTGACAGAGTGTGTGTGTGTGTGTGAGTGTGAGTGTGAGTGTGTGTCCGTGCATGCATGAATGCTTGTAATCTTGAAGTAGCTTTGTGGTACAAACCCTTTTTTTTTTTTTTTGTTTTCATATATATCACTTTAGCATTTAATTGACTTAATAGCATCCTTCATAAGTGACATAAGATGTGAAATATCCTGAGGCTAATGGGTCTCTCTTTCTCTAATTAGTTTACTACTTCTGCCTCTACAAAGTACATTGCAAATGTGTATTTGCCCTAAATTTCAAAGAGAGGGAGAAAGAAATGAAGACTTGAACTTCACTGATTTGAGAACAGAAATTGGGCTAAGATTCTACGTTGTTCTATTTACATTTACTAAATTTTCTTTCCTATATTGCTTCCAAATAAGTATTTTCTTATGTTTAAACAGATTTTGTATTAATCTCTGTAGTTTACTTTAAAATAGTGTTGTAAGATTAAGTTTTGTTTCTTGCTGGGATGTTATTAATTTATATTGATGTTTTATGTTGACTTCTATTCTTTTCTAAGTAAACCAGTTACTTTGTTGGTTAATTTGTATCACAGGACAGTATTACCTCATATAGAATAGGTAAGCCTAGCATGGTGATTCACACCCGTGTCTTGGAGGTTGGGCTCAATCCCCACTATCAAAAAACAAGCAAGCAATAAAAAGTTTGTCAGCATCAGACAAACAGTCTAGGTGGCAGTCTAGTTACCTGCAGAAAGAGTTCATTACCACTTTCTCTCTCCTCCCACAGCATGTCCTCCCTCTTCTAAAAACATGCCAGAAAACTCGAACACACTTGCTCTGTGGGATTGTGAGTCTTAATTAAAGGCTGAGGCCAGAACCAAGGGGGCTGTCTTACCTGGGGTTCTGGGATTGAAGGGACAGCCTGTGGAAGCTGGTCCAGCATTACCATCCTGACCACACATATATCTTTAGACCACAAGTGGGTAGTATGTTCTTTTTTAAAAAAAAATATATATATATATATATTAATTTTTTTGGTTCTAATTAGTTAAACATGGCTGTAGGATGCATTTTGACATAAATGGAATATAACTTATTCTTCTGGTTGTGCATGGTATAGAATTACGCCTCGTGTCATATATGCATGTAGGGTAATAATGTCTGATTCATTCTACTAGTATATTAGTTCTTCATTGATCTCTTCATGGGGATTCTTTTTGCCTTGTTTTCTTTTCTTTTTTTTTTTAAAGAGAGAGAATTTTAATATTTATTCTTTAGTTTACGGCAGACACAACATCTTTGTTTGTATGTGGTGCTGAGGATCGAACCCAGGCCGCACGCATGCCAGGCGAGCGCGCTACCGCTTGAGCCACATCCCCAGCCCTGTTAATGCTTTTTTCATGACTTTTTTTTTTTCCTCATGGTATTGAGGGGATTGAATTCAGGGCCTTGTACATGGTAGGCAAGCACTGCCACTGAGGTACATCCCCAGCTCTTTTAATTTCATTTGGGGATAGGGTCTTGCTAGGTTGCCTAAGTTGTCTTGCTAAATTGGCCTCTAGCTTGCAATCCTTCTTAATCCTCCTGAGTAGCTGAGATTACAGGTGCATGTCATCATGCCTGGCTTATTGATACTTAAATATTAAATAAAGCACCTTTTTTCCTTTGAAAGTAAAGACCAGTAGTGAACTTGATTTTTGTAAGTCACTACTCTTTCCTTGCCTTTTCACTACTTTCTCTCCACATGCTAGATAGTCTTCTGTTCTCTTTTTCCCAAATGATTCTCTTTTTGTTGATTCTCCTATGAGATTTTTTCTCTGGATATTTAGGTCATTCCAATTTCCCCACCATTATTGATATTAATATAAACTTTATAAAGATCTATATTCTATGCTGGGGATATAATTCAGTGGTAGAGTGCCTGCCCAACATTTGTGAGGTCCTGGGTTTGATTGCCAGCACCACACATGCAAAACAGTATTCTCTGGGGTTTTATCTTTGGAATATCTTTTTCAGAAATGAATTACTGCTTTGAAGGGAATGAACATTTTCTAGTTTTTATTGCATGCATAGTTTGAGACTTTTCCTAAAACAACAGAACAATGTACAATGTATATTTTTTTAAATATTTGTTTTTTAGTTGTAGGTAGACACAATGTCTTTATTTTACTTATGTGATGCTGAGGATCAAACCCAGTGCCTCATGCATGGTAGGCAAGTGCTCTACCTCTGAGCCACAACCCCAGCCCGATTTACCATATCTTTAGCAACTTCTTTTTAAAAATTTTTTAGTTATAGATGGACACAATATCTTTATTTTATTTATTTTTATGTGGTGCTGAGGATTGAACCCAGGTCCCACCCGTGTGAGGCGAGTGCTCTACCACTGAGCCACAATCCCAGCCCTCATTGCTGTTTTTTAATATAGTTTTAAATCTGATAGGATAAGGCTCCTATTTTTACCTCAAAATACATGTTTGAGTAAAAAAGAAATAACATTTATTTGGTGTTTTGTTATTGTTGTTGTTGTTGTTTGGTACTGGAGATTGAACACAGGTGAACTTAATCACTGAGCCATATCTCCAGCCCTTTTTATTTTTTATTTTGAGACAGATTCTCACTAAATTTGTTAGGGCCTTGTTAAATTGCTGAGACTGGCTTTGAACTTTCGATCTCCTGCCTCAGTCTTCCAAGCCACTGGGACTACAGGTGTGTGCTACTGCACCTGGCAAGTATTGTTTTTTTCTTAAATATAAATCTTATAATATCCTGAGTTAAGTTGCTTAACAAATTTTCCGTATTTTGTTATTTAAAAAAAAAATTTATTAGTTGTAGTTGGACACACTACCTTTATTTTATTTATTTATTTATTTATTTTTATGGGAGTGCTGAGGATTGAACCCAGTGCCGCATACATGCCAGGCACTCTACTGCTGAGCCACAACCTGTATTTTGTTATTTTTTATAAATTGTCTTTCTCTTTTCTGGGGTTTCCATATGAATGAACCTAATGAATAAGAATTCAGTAGATTTTTTTTTTCCCACTCTGTTTGTAGCCTTAAAGATTTTCTTAGTGGATTATTTGCTGTATTTTGTTGTTTTTGTTAATTTCAGAATTATAATCATGCTATCCATAGAGATGCTATTTTTATTTATTTATTTGTGTGTGTGTGTGTGTGTGTGTGTGTATTAAGCTATTTTCCTCTTAGTATTGGTTTCCATCCTGGTAGCTTGTAGGAGAGACCTGGAAAGGCCGTTTGGTGTATGGTGTAAAAAGAACTGACTCTAGTGCTTCTCTCAGTATAATCTTGGTACTTTGTTGTTTTTTGTTTTCTCATTTCTTGTATTATTGGAGATTGAATCCAGGCCTCATGCATGAGCACTGTACCACTGAGCTATACTCCCTTCCAACTCTTTTAAAATTTTGTTTTGAGACAGTGTCTCGCTAATAAGTTGCCCACACTGGCCTTGGACTTGTTATCCTCCTGCTTTAGCTTCTTGAATAGCTGGGATTACAGCGGTGTTCCACCAACCTCAGCTGGTGTTTTTTAATTTTATGATAAATTAGTTAAAAGAAATATGTAATCATACCAAATCAACTTTTTACAACAAATCTTGGTTTGAGTCAAAAAAAACATCACTTTCTCCTTGTAGCATTTCTAAATTTTATCTACTTCTGAATCATATTTTAATGAGAAACATTTTTTAACCAAAAGTGTTCTTCAGTTTCTGATTGTAGTAGTTGTACCCGCTGCCTTACATGTATTCCATGGTGCCTCTCGGTGCTCAGTGTTACTCCATAGCACACCACACAGGTGCACCCCTTGAGTCTGATGAGGGCTCCCTTGTGGCTTTGCCTTCACCAAGAATCACTGATTTCTAGTAACACAAAATAGCCTCCCATGACAATACTGAAAGGCTGCTCCCAGGTTTCAGTGCCAGTGGAAGGAGCTAAGTTGCTTAATAAAATTTCAATATTTTGTTACTTTTGTACAAAATAGTTTTCTCTTTTTTGGGGTTTCATATGAATGATCCTAATAGATAAGAATTCAATTGATTTTCCCCTCACCCCACTTATAGCCCTTCTCCCATACTGGGGATTGAACCCAGGGATGCTTTAGCATTGAGCTATATCCAGGCTTTTTTTATTTTTTGAGACAGGGTCTCACCTAAGTTGCTGAGGCTTGCCTCAAACTTACAGTCTTCCTGCCTCACCCTCCCAAGTCTCTGGGATATTTATTGGTGTGTGCCACACATTCTTTGATTTTTATGTGGTTGGTTAGCTAAAAGCCCACCTACTTGATTGCAAGTCATTGATCAGCCTTTGTCTGAGCAATAGGACCTCATTATTTTCCTACTTACCTTAGAACAAACTGAGAAATTTAAAACCTGAAACATTGTGTAAGCTCATTTCTAAGATAATTAAGTAGAATAATAGCTACAATATATAGTTGACTAATTGGGAGCTGGAGGTGAAACAGAATGCTAGTGACTTGAAGCACACAGAGGCATATAGAACTGTTCCTATTCTTAGAAAGAAATCTGAGACACAAACTTTTAAGTGGAACAAAATGACCACAGAAGTGATTTAAGACTAAAACCAAGATATTTATAATCATTGGTGATAATTCCTGAATAATTATAATGGAACGCTTGTTATGCATGGATCTGTAATTTGGGATTATTGTAGTCTGCACTAGAAATTGCATGTCTTTTTGATTATTGAAATTATTGGGATGAAGAGCACTGTCAATTTTTGTATTAATTTGTTTCAGTGGAGCATGGCCAAAATATCCCAACCTAGAAGCATTATTGAAATTGCATCTAGGAAAAACTTGAGTGGGGAGGTATCATATTGTTACTCTGAGGGAATTGCAGTTTTCTCCTTTTTCTCTTCCATCAGAGTAGTCTCATTCTACTTAAATTCTCCATTCCATACAGCCTTTTCAAATTTTTTGTTAATTTTGATTTAATTGCTGGACTGGAGTGGTACCTTGTACATGTGGCTTTGTGCTGCATGGACTTGGGGATTGGCAGCTGTCCCTACTATACTCCTTGCCAACTTAAGAAAGGTGGTGATTGCGAAGTAATACAGAAAGCAGCAGTGCTCCCATCCTTGTGAAGTGCACATGACTAATTCATACTTACCCAAGGTTTTTTTTTTTTTTCCCCCTCCTTCCCTCACTCTATCTGTTCAAATTGATGGTTCTTTCACACCTGATGATGCTTCCTTCAAATGCCCGTCCTTGTTATTTCTCCGAAGCTTTGTGCACCGAGGGCGACCTGAGCCTTTGGATCTTCACTTGGGCATGTTCCTACCCACCTTGCTTCACCAGGCCACTGCGGAACAGCAGGAGCGTTTCTTCATGCCCGCCTGGAATTTGGAGATCACTGGCACTTATGCCCAGACAGAGATGGGTCATGGTACAGTGTGTTCAGTCTACCTTCTGGGTGGGGTGTGCTCCTGCCAGCTGGGCAGGTATGGAGTGCCCATCTCCTGTTAGGAATGGCACATCAGCCAACTACGAGCTATTTAAAAGAGCTCCTTCTGCAGAGTCCAGGTTTGGACATAGATAATGATTTGGTCATGGAAATTAAGTTATCATAGTGATTTTTCTGATTAATTTTTTATGGTTCCCATTTAAAAGGTCAAGAATGACAAATTAAGCCTTATTTACCAAATGATTTTTCAAGTTCATTCATGTTGTATAGAATCTACACATAGAATTTGAACCCATATATTTTCTTTGTTACTGTCTGATTACTGCTGATACCCTAATGCACCTTTGCAGATCCCAGAAGTACATATTTAATTGTATGTATGTTCTTTGGCTTGCTTGAGGGAAATGAGTAGCTTAGTATAATGAAAATTTGCAACATTTTATGCCTTGAAGTTATTTATATTTTGATTCAGTAAATTCAGAAAAGTTCTGAAGGTGGCTTGACCAGAAAAATTAAAAGATAAGCTGTACTTTCAGGCTGTTGGCTTCAGACTTGGTATACAGCACCTTTCTTTATTTTCCACCCTCATCTGCCCTGCTTCATGAACCTAAATGGGGTTGAAGGTAGTAGCTGTTCCTCTTATTTGTTCTGAATTGGTGTCTCTTTTGCCATTTACTTAGTTCTTCCTACTTTTTTCCTGCTCTGAGATTTCAGGAAACCTACTATATTGCCTCTTAATTCCTTAATTCTGTAGAGTTGCCTTTTACTACTCAGTGCTGAATAGTAGTTTACAGGATTTTATAAGAGGCACAGCAAAATAATTCAGTTCCTTGTGCATTTGAAAACATTTTGTCTTTATCTGTTCTGTTTAGTATATTTTTGTTTTTTTCTGTTAAAGTTTCTTTGGTGAATGGAATATAAGTGCCTGGGTTCTTGACTCCCCTACAGGGGAAGAATGAATTGCACGTAAACTAGCCATTTCTGTTACTCGTCTTGAAAATTTTGAAATATTTTATAGTTTAAGCATTCAGTGAGATCTGGCATTATCCAAGTAGTTTGGTAGAAGGTCCTCAGTATTTGCTTAGTAGAGTTTAATTAGAGTGTCACCAGGGACATTTTTCTATGGTTCTTTTCAAAGAATTTTAGCTTTTTTTTTTTTTTTTTTTTTGTGGTGCTGGGGATCGAACCCAGGGTCTTGTGCATGTGAGGCAAGCACTCTATCAACTAAGCTATATCCACAGTCCACAATTTTAGCATATTTGTATTAGACTTTAAAACACAAGTCCCCATCATATCTTTAGTAAAACATGAAACTAAGAACCCTTCCCCTGTCGTACTTGTGGCCCAGCTAGGATTTTAAAAGTCCCTCTTTAAGGCCTTTTTCTTCAATGAATATACCTTTTTAAGTTCTTATTTTCCATCCAAGCAATCATTCTGAAATAAATTATCAATTTACAAAAAAAAAAAAAAAAAAAAACCAACTTTAACTGAAGTCTGTTCCTGTCACTTATTATCTCATTTTCAGTAATAAGTAGCTCCAGAATGTTGAAGTGGTGTGGTAAACACAGTACACATCATGGAAATTTTCACAATTGAAATTCAGAGATGAGTTTAAAAGGACAGTAAACTTCCCTGGTAGGATCATACATTACAATCTTAGGAAAATACGGTTCCAAGCTTCCTTTGCATTTTCTTTTGGTAGGTCTAAAGAAATGTTACAAATTAACTAAATCAGATGTAAAAATGGAACATGCGTGGAAAACTGTCTGATAGAATGGGAAATTAATTATCTTGCTTATCAACCATTTGTACTCATCTACAAATGTAGTGTTGTTAGGTTTTGCTTTTCTCTGAGATACTAGAGCTATGAACTGGGCAGGAAGTTTTACCCTGCACCACTATTTTTACACATGTTTATCCAAAGGAAATGTAATTTATTTCCATAGGAACTCATCTTCGAGGCTTGGAAACCACTGCCACGTATGACCCCAAAACCCAAGAGTTCATTCTCAACAGTCCTACGGTGACCTCCATTAAGTGGTGGCCTGGTGGGCGTAAGTGAATTTTTTAGCATTTATTGGATATTTTGAAGATTTGTAATGAGATTATATGTGCAATGTAGACCTTACGTGAGAATATCATTTTGAAATGCAGAAAAAAAACTTTTAAGTCTTTAAACTATTCATAACTTCCTTTCGTGTTACATATTATATATATTTATACATCTTAGCACAGAAATGACTATTATGCTATTTTTCTTAGTTTTTCATCAAATGTTCCCACATATTACCATACTTTCCATCATCATCATTTAAAGTAACTTAATATTGGGCTGGGGTTGTAGCTCAGCGGTAGAGTGCTCACCTAGCTCATGTCAGGCCCTGGGTTCAATCCTCAGCACCACATAAAAATAAATAAATATATATATCGTATCTTTATGTAAAACATGAAACTAATGTCCAGCTACAACTAAAAAATATATATATTAAAAAAATAAATAAAGTAACTTAACATTATCTTACCAAACAGTTGAGTATTTTTAAAATTTTGATTATACATATATTTTTTTTATTTTTTATTTTTTTTAAGTACTGGAAGTTGAACCCAGGGATGCTTCATGAAGCCACATCCCCAGTTCTTTATATTTCTTTAAATTTTGAAACAGGGTCTTGCTAAGTTGCTGAGGTTGGCTTTAAACTTGGGATCCTCCTGCTTCAGCCCCTTAAACACTGTTTTTAGTATTTTTCATTCTGAATTATTGTCTTGGGATGTATAGGTCAGATGGCATCAATGGTTGAAGGATTTTACTATCACATTATTTTTGCTATGTGACATTATATTTTGATATGAAGAAAACTAGAATGCAAAAGAATGAATATTATCTCTGGAAGTGCTAGCCAGAGGCTGCCCTGCCCCACAGGAGATTGTACAGTGGTGGGAGGGTTTTTTTTAAATCTCTGCTTCTCAGTGTGGTAGCCACCTACCACATACGGTTCTTGGGCAGTTGAAATAAGGGTAACTAGGGAACTGAAACTTTTATTTAATTAGAATTAGTTAATTAATTAATTTTACATTTGTAGTTGTAAATGGACACAATACCCTTACTTTATCATGTGGTACTGAGGATTGAACCCAGCAGCTCACATGTGCTAAGCAAGCCCTCTACCACTGAGCTACAAACCCAGAAAAGAAGTAATTTAAATTAACATTATGATGGTTATCCTAAAATTTTCTTTATGTAAATACGTGAGAAATAAGTAGAATAAAGCTATTTTTATATTTTTTATTTTTTTTTAGAGAGAATTTTTTAATATTTATTTTTTCGGTGGACACAACATCTTTATTTTTACGTGGTGCTGAGGATCAAACCCAGTGCCCTACGCATGCCAGGTGAGCGCGCTACCGCTTGAGCCACATCCCCAGCCCCATAAAGCTGTTTTTAAATGAAGAATTGCTTTGCCAAAATTTAATAAATTTTAAAAACTGAACTTAAGTGACTTCTTTCTGAAAACTAGGTGGAAGACTGTCTTAAAAAAGGCTGTCTAGGGCTGGGGCTGGGGCTCAGTGGTAGAGCAATTGCTTAGCATGTGTGAGGCACTGAGTTTGATCCTCAGCAGCACATACAAATAAATAAAATAAAGGTCCATCAACAACTAAAAAATATTTTTAAAAATGGGGTCTGTCTAGACAACTTGCTCTGGCTTATGTTAATTTAACACACTGTTGTCCACTCTTCTGTTTGCACCTTTTAAAAATATAAGAGCATCTGCCTGCTCACTGTCTCCTGTTCTCTTTGATATTGCAGTCGGGAAGACTTCAAATCATGCTATAGTTCTTGCCCAACTCTTCACTCAGGGGAAGTGCTATGGATTACATGCCTTCATCGTACCTATTCGTGAAATTGGGACCCACAAGCCCTTGCCAGGTAAGGAATGTTCATTGGATATCAAGGTGAAAATTAAACTGAGCACTTGCCTTGCAAAAAGTGTAAGGCACAACTAAACAGGAGGCAGGAAGTTGCATTAGGGATTCAAGAATCTCATGTCTTTCTGTCATCTGCTGTAGGTATTACTGTTGGAGACATTGGCCCCAAATTTGGTTATGAAGAGATGGACAATGGCTACCTAAAGATGGACAACTATCGTATTCCCAGAGAAAATATGCTGATGAAATATGCCCAGGTATATTTAGCTAGAAAACAGGGCCCAGGATGCCCAGCATGGGGGTGTAGTGGCTACTGATAACCATTGGTAACCATGGGCTAGAATAATATGTTTTTATAAGGTGATGATGTTTTTATTTTTGATGCTTCATTTATTGTGGCGGTGAAATCAGGAGCAGTTGACAGGGGTGAAGCAGTTGACCTAGTTTTTAAACTCTGGTTCTCAAACTTTTACATGCTTTAGAATGATTCAGAGGACTGGTTAAAACGCAGGCCTTGCCCCCAGAATTTCTGGTTTAGTGAGTCGGTGTAGGCACTGAGGTGTACTGTTTCAGACAAGTTTCCTGGTCATTGCTGATGCTGCTGTTCCAGGAACGTCACTTGGAGAACCACTGAACTACCACTGGGCTCACAGAAGGAAGCATCAGTTCTATATTGTTCTTCCAGGTGAAACCTGATGGCACATATGTGAAACCTCTGAGTGACAAGCTGACCTATGGGACCATGGTGTTCGTCAGGTCCTTCCTTGTGGGAGAAGCAGCTCGGTCTCTGTCCAAGGCCTGCACCATTGCCATCCGCTACAGCGCTGTGAGGCATCAGTCTGAAATCAAGCCAGGGTGAGGATAGCATCTGAGATGGTGTAGTACTGATATTGAGATATCAGAATTAAATATGAGTAGAGAAGATTCATTAGCTGTGAAAGATTAGCTAGGGTGGCTGGGCACAATGGCCCATAGCTATATTCGCAATTACTCAGGAGGATTGCAAGTTTAAGGCCAGCCTGGGCAACTTAGTGTCTTACTGCATGAGACCTTGGACTCAGTCCCCAGTACCAACAAACAACAACAAAAATATAGAGTGGCAGTGTACTAGGCCTTTTACTTAGTATCTAGACTTCCTTGTTTTGAGAGGAAAGATGAGAATAACCATCTTACTGCTGCCCCCCACCTTAGGGCTGGGTATCTGACCCAAGGTGTCAAGCGTTTTAAACCAGAACTATATCTTGAGCCCGCCTTATTATTTTTTAGCCTTCCAAGTAAATAGAAATGATGTTATTTGAAGTATTATAAAGGATATGTTCAAAACACTGAAATCAGTATGAAAGTTAAAATTACTGATAATGGTTACAAGTTATATAATGGAAGTAGCATTAAACTTGATTCCCTTAAGAATAAAGAAACTGAAGCTGGAGAGTATAGCTCAGTGGTAGAGCACTTGCCCAGCATGTATGAGACCCTGGGTTTGAACCCCAGGGCTACAGAAAGAGTCCAATGAGAGCTGGGCGTGGTGGCACACGCCTATAATCTCAGCAGCTCAGGATGCTAAGGCAGGAGGATCATGAATTCAAAATCAGCCTCAGCAACTTAGTGAGACCCTAAGCAACTCAGTGGGACCCTGTCTCTAAATAAAATACTAAAAAGGGCTGGGGATGTGGCTCAGTGGTCGACTGCCCCTGAGTTGGTTCTTCAGTACAAAAAAAAAAAAAAGGCCAATAAGAGCAGACCTTGGGGCTGGGGTTGTGGCTCAGTGGTAGAGCGCTTGCCTTGCACATGTGAGGCCCTGGGTTCAATCCTCAGCACCACATAAAAATAAATAACAAAAGATATAAGAAAATTTAAAAAAAAGAGAGAGAGAGCAGACTTTTATTAATTCTTAACACTTCAGAATATTTATCTCTATGTATTTGGTCTTCTCCAAGAATGTGGTCAAAATAGCTGATTCACCATATGGAATGCTGGACCTTGTTGGCATCCCGTTCCTTTTATGAGGTTATCTAGCTTTGGTTTTGTGTGTTGCCCAAGAAGCGTGGTTTCCTTAGTCATACTGGAAAGACTAGGATGGATGGGACTTTTGCACCTAAAAGATTTTGTCCATCTGTGGTGGTACAGAAAAGAAGCTAAGGGCATGGTCTTACAGAACCAAAGAAACTAGATTTAAGTTGAGGATCTGCCACTCATTAGCTGTGTGACTTCTGATTCTTAACCTGTTTCTTATGTGTAAAATGAAGATAATGACAGCTATTTTGCAGGGTCTTTATGAGGATAAATAAGTGATTCAAGAGTGCTTAGACCAGAACCTGGCACATGGCAATTTCTGATTAAGCATTTATTTATTACTTTTTTTCTTTGTCTATGTAATTTAGTGAACCAGAACCACAGATTTTGGATTTTCAAACCCAGCAGTATAAACTCTTTCCACTTCTGGCCACTGCCTATGCCTTCCAGTTTGTAGGCGCATACATGAAGGAAACCTACCATCGGATTAACGAGGGCATCGGCCAGGGAGATCTGAGTGAGCTGCCTGAGGTACATGTTGAGTCTCATTTACTAGTGGGTGCCCTTCTGTTTCACATTTTTTTTTAAAACAACTGTGTTTATTTGTTTGTTTGTTTGTTTGTTTCGTGGTGCTGGAGATTGAACCCAGGGCCTTGTACATGCAAGGCAAGCACTCTACCAACTGAGCTATATCCCCAGCCCCTGTTTCACATTTGCCTGTTGGGAAATGTCCAGAAGAAACTACACGGGGTGATTTCCTGAAAAGAATGACGTATTCTTGGTACTTTAACTGATTGAAAGTGGGTCAGATACAAAGACATGATTTTAACTTTGTGGGTTTTGTTTTTAAGTATCATAAGTATTGAACCACAGTGGTCATTTGTCAGTCAAGGGAACATGAAAAGGGGTGACTTTTGCTAAGTCAAAAGTTCAGAAGTGAGTGTGAGAGTGTTATTAATTCAGGCCGGTCAACTGATTGCTGCTTCACTTAATTTGAAGAGCAACTGACGGGTTAGAGAAAGGTGTGTGTTTTCTCATTGGAACACAGACACTGAGCACCATAGGTGTTCTTACGGACTGTGCTTGTCCCCCAGCTTCATGCCCTCACTGCTGGGCTTAAAGCTTTCACCACCTGGACGGCAAACGCTGCTATTGAAGAGTGTCGGATGGCTTGTGGTGGTCATGGCTATTCTCATAGCAGTGGTATTCCAAATATTTATGTCACTTTCACCCCAGCCTGTACCTTCGAAGGAGAAAACACTGTCATGATGCTACAGACAGCCAGGTGAGAACTGAATTCACGATGTCTCCTATTAGTTTGAGTCCTTTCCATGGGTTCCTGTTGCCATGCTTTCTCACGCATGTGCATGTATATTTGTTTGCAAAAGACATAGTTTGGCACCTGTCTTGACTCACTGTTTTTATCTGTGGTCAGTCTAGCAGGTCTGAAACACCTGTCACGTGGTGCAGTCTGTTTCAGGAGTGGGGTTACTAAAAGTACATGTACTGGTGATTTTAGGTTCTTGATGAAAAGCTATGACCACGTGCACTCAGGAGAGCTGGTGTGTGGCATGGTGTCCTACTTGAATGACCTGCCCAGTCAGCGTATCCAGCCACAGCATGTGGCAGTCCGGCCAACTGTGGTGGATATCAACAGTCCAGACAGCCTGACAGAAGCATATAAGCTTCGTGCAGCCAGGTGAGCTCACCCTTGGAAGCTCAAAGACCCAGCTGTGGGGGCTTCTGGGCAGGGTAGATTAGAGAAGGCATGAGTACTGTGGATCATTTCCTCAGCTCTCCACTTTTCCTTCATTTCCTTAATAGACTAGTGGACATTGCTGCGAAAAATCTTCGAAATGAAATGAGTCACAGGAAAAGCAAGGAGGTAGCATGGAACCTAACTTCTGTTGACCTTGTTCGAGCAAGTGAGGTCAGTAGTAGTTCTCTCCCCTCCCTCTGCCCACCCCACTTTTCTTTATTGGCCTGGTTGCTGTGTATTGGGGTCTTCCCCAAGGTCCCCACACACTGTTTTCTTTTTTATCTAGGCACATTGCCACTATGTGGTAGTTAAGCTCTTTTCTGAAAAACTCCTCAAAATTCAAGATAAATCCATCCAAGCTGTTTTAAGGAACTTGTGTCTTTTGTATTGTCTGTATGGAATAAGTCAGAAGGCAGGGGATTTCCTTCAGGTAAGAATTCTTTAAGTAGAAAAGATAATTATTATCTATTATAGTTTTGTGTATATAAACCTCTGTGCACATACATATTTTTATGTATTTATTTTGGTTTACTTTAGGGGAACATCATGACAGGGTCTCAGATTACCCAAGTGAATCAGCGTATAATGGAGTTGCTCACTATAATTCGCCCCAATGCTGTTGCTTTGGTTGATGCATTTGATTTTAAGGATGTGACGCTGGGCTCTGTTCTTGGCCGTTACGATGGGAATGTGTATGAAAACTTGTTTGAGTGGGCCAAGAAATCCCCACTGAACCAAACAGAGGTAAGAAACACATTCTTTCTGCCTTCTGAAGTTCTTCATTTATTTTTTTGTAGGGCTAGAGATGGAACCCAGGGTGTCATGCATGCTAGCAAGGCAAGCACTAGGTCACTGAGACACACTCCCAGCCCACTGAAGTTCTTTTTTTCAGTATGAGGTAGAAAAGGCCTCTGGAAAGCCCAAAGGCACTGTGGCCACTTTATTTGAGCAACAGATTCAGAAAGGAACTGGTTTATTCCCACAATAAGCAGGGTTTTAATTTCCTTGAATATTTAATAACTAATTGAACACTTTATTTTGAGACAGAATCTTGCTAAATTGCCAAGAACTTGCAATCCTTCTGTCTTGGCCTTCTGAGTCCATATCTGCTCAATTTGACTCAGGTTTTTTTTGTTTTTTTTTTTCCTTCCTAATTTGAATCTGAATCCAAATGAAGCCCAGATAACTTCTCATTAAAAGTAGGCTATTTACATGGCAATATGGCAAGGTTGTAACAGTATTTCTGCCCTCTCCTTTCTCTACAGGTCCATGAATCTTATCACAAGCACCTGAAGCCGCTGCAGTCCAAGCTCTGAAGTGTGAGAAGGACAAGTTACGGTGGCTCCAGAAAGCAGCTGTGTGCATCTCTCTCTCCTACCCAAGGCACACATCTTTGCAGAATCTTTATTACATTCATATAGCTGTAGAACAAATGATAAATTGGCCCTTTTTCTCTTTTTATAAATGAAGAAAAAAATGAACAGATTTCAGAGATTAAATTGAAAAAAGGATGCGTTCTAAGTGCAATTAACACTGAAAGAGACTTCTCAAGCATTCAGAAAAAAACTAAAGAAATGGCAGTGTGACTTCCATTTGTAATGCTGCTGATCCCCGTTAGGTCATGACTTTTGATAATTAGCAGAATTTATCTACTAAGTACTTAATTATTTTTTGAATTTTAATTGCTAATCACTGGAATCATGGGCTATTTAAGTGTGTTTAAGCAAAAGTACTTTTTAAGTGGGGCAAAACCCTTCCAAGCTTTCCTGCTAGATGACCTGTTGCTCCTACTAGGACTGGCTAAAAAGTAGGACTGAAGAAGTGGGATGGAGAAAGAAAGGAAAGTAATAAGAAACCTAATGTGAGTGAATGTGTGCTTGGCACATTTCCTGTGTGCTTCTTTCCTTTGCTGATGTGTTGCTCCCTTCTGACCCACGTTAGCATTTCCAAGAGGCCTCTTTGAGAGAGGTCCTCTGCAGGCCCTTTGTCTTACTAGTTAGAGATTCATCACCACTGTAGGGATTTCTAATTGTCATTCTAGGATTATGACTCTTTTTGTCCTCAGCTTCTGGGAAGGAATAGATAGTAAAGTTATCTCTCTATATGACATTTGGGCATTGCTGGGGCCTCAGTCAGTGTGTTCATCTTCTCCCTCCCTCCCTCTTGCATTCCTCTGAAAGAGGTACTGAAGAAGGGAGGAAAACATTCCTTAGTAGAGTACATGTAGGCAGAATCTGCATGCAGCTGTGGCACTGCTGTAGTTTTGGTGACCTTATCAACTAGATTTCCTGGGACAATCCAGATTTTGTGTTCTGTCATTTAGGCATAAGCCATTAAAATACTTGGAGGCTACTAAGTGTTTGGCATTAGAAAAATAAATGAAAATTTCACTTAGGTCACCACTTATACCCAGAAAAACCCTTTGATACAAACCATGTGTTCTGATTTTTGTTTAGAAAATATAATTGAAACGAGTAAAGGGTAAATGAAAATTCCATAGATTGTTTCCTATTATCTGGTTTTGTTGTATGTATCAAGGAGCTTTATATGAGTTGCTAAATTATTCTTCCAGTTGAAATCTAATTTGCACAATCATTCTGTATTTAAAGGTTAAACATATACCTTTTAATTAATTTTTTTTTTAATCAATGTTAAAAAATATCACTTGATTTTTTTTTTTTTTTCTTCTTTTCTTTTTTCAATACTGGGTATTGAACACAGGGGCTCTCTACACTGAGCTACATTCCCAGCTCTTTTCATTTTTTATTTTATTTTTAGGCAGTATCTTGCTAAATTGCTGAGGTTGGCCTCACTTGAAACCTCCAACCTCAGCCTCCCAAGTAACTGGAATTATAGGCATGGGCACTATGCCAACCACTTAATCTTTTTTTTTTTTTTTTAAAAGCCTTTTTGTGATCCCTTACTCATGAAAAAGTTTCTAGGACAGTTTCTGAGAATGAATTCGATGGAAACAATTTCGTTCTATGAACCTGACATAAAATTTGTCCCATGGGAGCTGGTAATATGAGTGAGACTTTTAGGTTACAACAGAAATACTGTCTGTTGACACAGCCTTAATTTTTTCTCTCTGAGAACTGATAATTGTGTTATTATTGAAGAGTTGCACTGTCACTCATTGGCTGTATATTGACAATTCAGATTCTGGAAAATTAAGAAATGAATTATATGACTCCATATTGACCTGTTAAATGTAGAATTGCCAGGCATGTTGCATGCCTGTAATCCCAGCTATTGGGAAGGCTGAGGCAGGAAAATTGCAGGTTCATTTGCCTGAGAAACTTAGCAAGTTCCTGTCTTGCTAAGTTTTTAAAAAATATTTTAAAAAATAATAAAATGAAAAGGGCTGGGGATATAGCTCAGTGGAAGCACTTGCTTAGCGTGTGCAAGGCCCTAGGTTCAGTTCCTAGCAAACACAAAAAAGGAGTTAATTTCAAAATTAGTGTTACAATGCTGTATTCACAGATGAACATTTATAGGCAGCAATATATGGTGTCTGAACTGACCCACCTAATCCAGCTACATAGAGCTGGGATCAGTCTTAGCAGATTTCAGAGATTGTGGGCCCACAAAGTCATCTTCATTCAGCACCTTGAGTTTTATTTTAAAACTAAATATGACATTTGATACTAGTATTTTTCTTAATATTGGAATGTTTTTGTCTTGAACTTTGTGCAATGTAATCAAAGATTAAAAATGTAGTAAAATTTCTGATTTGTACTATTGAGGAAAAGCATGCCATACAAATATGTTTAACTTATGAAGAAATTTTAAATGTAGGTTTGTAAGGTCTTGGTAACGCTAAGAATGAGCAAGAAAGGAACAATGACTGAACAAGTAGCAGATGTAAATGAATATTATTAATGAGATTTTTCTACTAGATAATACTGAACCTTTTTTAAAAATGAAATTTTGACGCTAACTAGATATTTGTTATTTTAAATGGATAGAAATTGAACTTCTTCCTCATTTATTGCCCCAATAGATGAATGCCAAGGTATTTCAATGTTTGGACATTAGTGACCTCCAAGCACAGTTGAGTCCTTGCTTTGGCAGCACATATACTAAAATTGGAACTGTATAAGTTAGTATGGCCCCTATGCAAGGACGACACAAACTTGTGAAGTGTTCCATATTAAAAAAAAAAAAAAAAAAAAGTTGGTCCCAAGCCTTTGTGGCCTTTAATCTTAAGGACATTTGCTTAAATATGATATTAATTATGTTCACATGCTTTCTTATGATTTCAGATTCCACATATCTGCAGGCATTTTATAGTTCCTAAAGCTAACATGTTAGGTCTTAATTCTTCATTATAATGCTTTGGAGAAATACAACTCTCCATCATCCTGGAATTCTCTGGGATCAGTAAGTCTTTGGACAATTGCTGCTCA